TCTCTTGTACTACTGTGCACTTTTTGGCTATTGAAACAATAGTAATTTTTTTTAATGTTTAACGTTAAATATCTTTCTAGTTATTGATTATAAACACCTAAAAGTAAATAATTTTAGAAAGACAATTTAATAATCTTTTAAATGCAAAAACAATAAATAAGGTGTTCCATTTAAATTTTTTAAGTTATTAAACTTTTAACAAACGCCTTCATTTTTTTATCTTTGCAAATGCAACACACTAAAAAATGTTACAACCTTATAGCTTGTACCTTCTTCTTTGCGGTAGTAGAAAAAATATTTCTAGATGTCTTAGTTTTTGTGTAATAATTTTTTTAAAAGTGCATGTTTTCCAAAAAAACCGTCTTATTTTTAAAACTAAGCAAAATCGACCAATAAAAGTTTAGCTTAAAAACATTGTTATAAATATCTACATCCAAAAACGCTAAGGAACATATGGTATTTCATGTACTATATACTAGATTAGTATCTATCAAAGTCCTATATAATTTTTTTTTAATTTTACTTTTTTAAAGTCACTAATTGACTTTTTCAATTTGCTGAGCCACTCTGTCTAATCCTTTATCGTTGCACTAGCAAAACAATTTTTTAATCAATTAGAAATATTTATTTTTGGGCCGACCCTAAAACTTGGGACAGGCTGTGTATCTACTAATCAAAGTGACACAAACTGACGTTACCTAAACGTTGGCTCATTTTTGGTTTAATCACTGTAAAAAAAGTAAAAAGCATTTTCTTTTAAGAGCTTTTTTTATAAACGAATTAGAGTTATCCAAAAAATGAACACACTAAATTCAAAAATTAGAAGCCCAAAAAGTATTGCAACTGCGAACTCTAGACGTGTTTTAGTCTAATTAGATGTAATTTTTTCCGAGGTGCCTTGCCCACGACCATTGTATTCAGCGCCGGTCCATTGAATAAATTTTTATCACACCACATAATATGATTTATTGTGCAACCTCGCTGTACGAAAATAACATTCAATTAGAACCACGAGGCATTGTAATTACGATTCGAAAATGGCGTCAATAAATCTTGTCCCGGAATAAATTAAAATATGAAACTAAAAATGCACACTGAGATGTCAGATCGTTGATAAGAATTGTAGACCTCTAGTCCTCCCAACAGATGTTTGAATCCATTATACTCTTCGACAAAGGGGCATTTCAACACACCGCGTCATGTTAGCACAGCAATATATCGTATTTCTATTGTGCATGCCATCCGGTTTAAAACAAGGACCTATTAGACACATGATGCTGAAAAAATGAACCGGTGCGAGATCGATTTTGGACACCCTTGACCGGAAATTGGTGTCGTGTCGAAATTTCCGGGTCATGTTTCAAAAATGAAACTTTGATATTATACCACCCTGGAGAGAAATTCGAGCCATAAAGTCGGAATTAAAGGAAAAAAACGAGGGAAGGTGAGGGAGGGAGATTTTTACAAGAGGCGCTATCTTGGAACACGTCGAGTTATTCTGGAAACGGCGGACGTTCAGCAGACGGATTAATTTTCCTATGAACGTAAAAAGTTCACTTCATTAGCTTATAGCTTTGCGAAAGTTAGGAGGGACGAGTGGCCTAACTTGCATCAACTTTATTCATATAAATGAGACCTTTCATGAAGCCGAATTTATAACGAAAAATTTGAATAAAATGTTATTTATATTTTAGGACCTGTTTAATTGCAAACTTTAATTCGCGATTTTTTTTGCTAATTGTACAAATACTGGGTAAAGATTGGGTAAAGAAGTAGTTTAGCAACAAAATTAAAATTTTCTTCTTATGTTTATAAACATGTTTCTTGTTTATAGTAACGTATCAACTATGATTCGCTGCATATTTTTATTTATGTTGAATACGAATATACAGTTTTACATAATTTTACAAGGCCTGCACCTGTAAGAAGCAATCAGTAATACATATTCCGATACGAAATCGATTACAAATTTTGAAAAATTGTATAATTTTCTCTAGTTTGTTCACTCTTTTAAAAATTACAACATTTTTAGTTAGTGATTAAGATAGATAAACTAGAATCATATTCATGCCGTCTTTTGATAGAACAAATGATAATTGTTTCTGAAAAACTGCATTTTATAACTATTAATGAAACAGTGATTAGTTTGACTACTACTGTCATGGGTTTCCAAAAATGAAATAATTAAATATGTATTTTGTGAATCTAGTGTTTTGTGAATTTTGTATATTTGGGTGGACGCAAGCCTCGTAAAGTTGTGTGAAACACCCTGTATTGATATTTATGGCCGATTTACAGAAATCAAATTAAATTTTAATTCGAATTAAGTTAACTGTTTTTAGTTAATCTATTATAGGTAGTTTACATAAATTAAAAATCATCAACATTTTTGTGTTAGGATAAAAGTTTGCTTTTAAAAAGTATTTAATTTTACTAAAAATAATAACGAAAAAAAATTTTCAGCCACATAACCAGTAAATATTTTATAATAGTACCTAGGTTACATCATTTTCCTTAAACAACAGAAAGCCAGTATAGAATTTATCAAATTTTGGAAAACATGACATGACAAAACTGATAAGGAAGTGACTACTTCCCAACCTGAACTTGATATTTTATATCAATTGAAGGGGTGAGTGGATAAAGATGTCATGTGCATTAACCTATATTTGGAGTTATAAGCATTTTAATATGGTATTTTTTCCAATTTGTTTTTGATAAAAAATCACATGATATATAAAGGCCTATGTGAATATTGTTTCCAACTATTGGTTTATAAAAATATTTCAAGTTTAACAAACGATTTATAAATAAAAATCTAACGACACATTGTAAAGAAGTCCACTTTATGCTGTCCCGAAAATTAACATTCTTATTCAAAAGATTTTTTTTCTTGTTTACTAGGTGTCATTTTGAAGCTAGTTCATCGACTTTTCAAAAACGGTTTTCCATATTAACACCATATTTTTCAATAAGAGACGGAATTATCTCGAAAAATTTAGACGAAAATATACCGAAAAGTCACCAAATTAAGTGAAAAATAATGAATTTTGCTTGTTTACATCACGTTTTTTTGTAAGATTCTGTTAAAACATATTGAAAAATTATCAAATTGGGTTGAAAATGACCGTTTTAGAGTTTTAGCAGGTTTTTCAATTAAAAATTTACAAAATTATTTCGTTACAAATCGCTAAATTTACTCAGAAATGGTGTTATTTTTATTTTTTAGATTGTGCTAAAAAAAATTTTCAAAAATAATACCATTTTTCCGTTTTAAGACATTTTTTAGTCAGAATCGCAATTGTTTTGAAAATTTTCGTCGAAAGTGAGGTAAAAAATGAATAAACTATCACGAAACTAAAATTATTTTTGCTTCTTTGGAGAGTTTAAGCATGTTTTTGAGCCGAAAGAAAAATCATCTGGATGCTTTTCCAAACGTTTTATCAAAATTTTCAATCAAAAGCACAAAACTTCGTCAAAAATAAGCCAAAAAATCACATAATTAATTCGAAAATGATGTTATTTTTGCTTTTTTCAAACATTCAGTTGCGTTTTTAAGTCTAAGAAAGTTTTTTCTTTAATTTTTGTTAAAAAAACATACCAAAAAATTAATACATGTACCAGAGTAAATAAAAAACGACATAATTTATGCTCTTTTCTAGCGTTTTAAAACATTTTTCAATAAAAAATGCAATTATTTCGCAAAATTTTGCCAACAATACGTCGGAAAGTAATTGAATTAAGTAAAACTAGTGTTTGTTATTTGTGCTTTTTTTAAAACATTTATTTAATATTATTTATTTAAACATATTTTAACACCTTTATCCACTAATTCCTAATAGAAACCAACACTTAAAAGTCTTTTTCAATAAAAGAATATTGCGAAAAAAATTGTTTTAAAAGAAAATACCAGTTTTCAAAAAAAATCACTCACCCCTTCAATTGTTAAATGAAGTTGAAATGTCATACTCTCTAATTTTTTACTTGTAATGTACGAGTAATTTGATTATTACTTTATGATGCTAAACAAAAATTGTATAAATTGAACTAAAGTGTTACCGAAAAGCAAAGAAAGGGTTACGACTCTATCAAATGCTCAGTTTTCATCTAAAATACATAATACATAATTTGATGCTTGCAGAAAAAAAATATGTCCACGTTTGTTTTGACCCCAAAAACCAATACCAATGTACAATTTTTTTGCGTGCATAATTTTTTATAAACTAAAAAAATCATAGAAAAAGAAAAGAATAGCAAAGAAAGTTGTTTAACGAATTACTTTTTTATTAAATGTTTTGAATCATTTTGAAATTTTTACCTCATTAAAAACCTCTTAATTGAATCAAAAACGAATAAAAAAAGGAAATATTAATCAATAACTGTGCAAATTAATTGTTGGGTATAATTAGAGTAATTAAAGTGATTGGTAACTACGCAGGACTATACGTTTTTAAATTATTTTTGTATAATTTATAAAATAACTTTTTTTGTTTTTGTGGTAAATACAATTACTAAAAATTAGATTATGTTATACAATCGGAATTTGAAATAAAATCTGATCACGCAGAGGCCGTAATTACGTCGCAGAGCAATCATTTTATTTTATTATTGTGTCCATATTTAAAATTCTGAGCCAGTCTAACTCAGACCCGTGCCCCCTATGACACATCACGTCTGACTTTTCATTGATTGGAAATTTAACAAATGTACACATGTTGAGATAAGGGGTCAGTAATAAATAGTGATTTACCGATAAGAGCAACTGCTTTACCACAACGGACATTGGAAGCACCATATGTGGGGCAATTTTCCAATTTCGTGTATGAGGGTTGAAAAGTGAGGAGAATCCTAAACCGGACTCAGCTGTCGTTACCGACCATTTCGAGCGATAATAGCCACTCCCCGACTTAATTTTTCGTATTTTACATCCGTTTTAAGTATTTGTTTACTTGAAAGTTTTACGATTCGGACGAATAAAGCCGGTGTTTTGTTCGTTTCAGGTCATGTGCTGGAGTTTACAGTGGAACCGACGGACACAGTTGTGGAATCGGGGCAATCGGCCGTTTTGGACTGTGTCATTAAATCGTCTCATCCTGCGAGCGTTTTGATCCAATGGCTGGATCAAGACCGACAAAAACTGACGTATTTAGGTGATCTATACAGGTAGGTATCGATTTACCAAAGATGAATTTAATTAAAACCGTCTCCAACTCAAATTACTTCCAGGTCTCAACTTACAAACGGTTCATTGTATATAAATAGCGTGTTAGAAGAACAAAGATTAACAGGGACTTACCAATGCATGGCTTCGTTGCCGAACGTCGGCTCCATTGTGAGCAAAACAGCCAAGCTGAATGTAGCCAGTGAGTAAAATTCATTTATTCAAATTACGGCGAAAAATTCACAAACTTTGTCGCCTTCACTGTTTTAATTTCATTTACATTTTGGCAACGCCTAATTTGAAATTAATCCTTTGATTAGCTTTTGCGGCTTTTCAAACTTTTCACGGAAAGTTTCAAAACAAACAATATTCCCAGTCCAGCCATTGATCACATGCGATGATTTATTTATTACCGAGTTTTATCATTTGCATCAATTAGGTCGTTGCACATATTTTTTTATTGCATATTCTGAATCTTTATTAAAAAATAATTGACCCATGTTTTTTTTGAAATCTTAATTTTAGTACAAAAAAAAATATCAAAAACTCGTAAAATGAAATAAATTCAAAACGCGCGCGTTTTATGCTTGCTGTGAGGTAATAATCCAGCTTTGCGTTCATTGGCTTGCATGTCGGTTGAATCCATGAAATAAGCCCACGACAAAAAAACCCACAAGATAAATGCCCACACGGAAAAAAGCTCACACAGAAATAAGCCCACATAGAAAAAAACGCACAATGAAAAAAACGCTCACCCAGAAAAAACTCATATAAATAAAAGCCCAATGGTCAAAAAGCTCACGGGTAAAAAGCTCACAGAAAATTAACTCAGGGAAAAAACAATCTCTGCTGTCGTGGATAAATTTATAATCGATCAGATGCCAATAAAAATGTTTTAGAATAAAGTTTTGCTGTAATCCTATTCAAGAGAAGTGTAAAATCAAAAGTATAGTAAAATCGTTTTCCTAAGATCTGCTAAAAATTTTATTTCTTTTAAGTTAAATGCGGTATTGTTAAGAGTAAACCAGAAGGTAAACAAATCATAAATTAGTGGAACCCACCCGGACCCTAAAACAGGTTAATCCCTTATAATGTGTCCTAAAATTCTTGTTGGTCCATGAAAATGAAATGAAAGAAGGCGGATTAAAAACCAAAAAATCTCTAAGTACACGATTTTATTTTAAATTCAATAAGAGATCCTAATTAAACATAAAATACAAATTAACTTACAAAAGTAACAAAAAATAAAATAAATTGTGAATACTTTTTATTGTTACAAATTTAAACAGGAGATAGAATATTCATTTTAAACAAAAATTTTCTATGAACATTTATCGAAAAATGCTACGCAAGGGGTGCGTCTTTTAATAGGTGTTTTTTCAATATTTCCGCAATCATTTTAGAAAAAAATTTCAAAATTTGGTACAGATGATAACTTTTATACACCTAAACAAGTACAAAAATAAAATGTTGAAATTTTTAATTAGGGGCTTCCTAAACTAAATTAGGGTACAAATTTACTATTTTGCTTGTGGTTTCTTGCCACTTTCAGCAACAAAATTTCATATTTTTTCATAAAAAAGGTCTTTTGTGTTTTTCCGATACAATTTACGGATTTTTAAGTAAAAATCGGTTTAAAAATTTATGTTACTGACACAGCATAACAATTAAAAATTAAATTTGTTTTACCGTTAAGGACGCCCCTGATTAAAAATTTTGTTATTTGGCATTTGTTTAGGTGTACATATAAGGGTACCAAATTTTGTAATTTTATCTATTCTGAAATATTAGGAAAAACCCTTTAAACAACGTACCTTTTTTAGGGGGTGTAGCTCCCTTTCATAGCATTTTTCGACCCCCTAATCCTCCTCTTGGGTACGGCCTTGGCGAAATGACAGTGACAGAGAAGAAACATGGAATGCGCACACTTCGTTAAGATAATGAAACTTATGAGCGTGCATTTTTTTCTCTAAAATTTTCTTACTCGTCATTTTGCAAGAGTTTACAATCGGGTGATCGCAATTAAGACCAATATTTAAGTAGGGAAAATCATTTAGATGTAATCGTTAATGAACTTATCATAACCCACGATATCAGCGATGAAATCTAATTTTGATCTAGTAATTTTAAGAGCGAGGATTGTTAGAAATATCATTGTTAAAAATTATTTTCATGCTTTAACAACTTAATAATTTGTTTATCGTTTTTCATCTTATGTATCAGTACCTACTTATTATATTTTTTTAAATAATAATAATAATAACTGACTTTTATTGTTACATAAAAGTACAATAGGGCGAGGTTCAAGTGGATCCTCTGCTCTACCACCTAATCCTAACAGTGGTTTTGAAATACGAGTACATTTTATTACGACGCTTATGGATAATATATTCTTTTTAATAATAAACATACTTTTAGTGTCAAAATTCAGTAATTTTTGACAACGTCAGTTTTGGAACAAGCTCTGCCTCTTATTCTTTTGCGGTTGTGACCCAATGTAATTAGTTTTCTTAACAAAGTAACGCACACAACTCCCAATTTTAACATTTTTTTGTACTGTCACTACTAAAGACATCGTATTCAGGTAACCAACTTGATAATAACTAAAGAAAGTTTGGTGAAACTAGTGAAACAATTTTTTATTTAATAAATAAAGAAAAAAATATTGTTCATATAACTATGTTTGACGATTTATTTATCGTTGGTGAATCTGACAATAAGTATTGTATAAAATTTTGTGTGCCCCCAAGCCGCCGTCCTCAGTTTTATAATCTTGAATAGCACACTATGTACTATTTCTAAAAAATTTGATTACCCAAATATCTCAGAAACTATAGAATACCGGGTGCGGCATCGGTTACGCCCAGAAAAAAATCCCCACTTCTAATTAAATAAAATTGTTGATTTTTTTCACACTTACCTGGGCATTAGTAAGGTACATTCTCTAATTTTTTGGTAATTTTTCAATTATAAACAAAGCCAAAAAAAAATAATTTTCTTCCAAAAAGTTTAATTCTAATTTTTATACTGACCTACGCAGATTCACTTCCTACAATTGTTTACAAAATCAGAAAAAAAATACCAATTAGATATTGATTAAACGCAATTTTCCATCTTAACTTTGAAAATCATTTTTATTTATGACCTGCTACTTGTGCCATCGTAAATTTAGGTGACAATGGGGAACTGCAATTGGTGTAAGATTCCAAGGTTTTCAACAAAAAGACCTTTTAAAGAGGTCGCCTACCAGTAAATGATTCTTTTGTTGGCAAATTATACCATTTTGTCATAAATCACGGGTCTGGTTTGTGTTTAAATAAAAAAAAAGCGATTATTTGGATAACCAAGTCAAAATTTAAAATTGAGATATCAAAGCTTGATGCGCTAACAGATACAGATTCATCTAGTCTAAAAACTTTGTAGGTAAATTAACAGCAAGTATTCATAAAACACACAAAACTGTTACGGACTCATTTATTATCAAAAAAAATTAGAAAAATTCTCAAATTATACCCTATCAATAATTAGTTAGGTATATGAAATATCGCCAGTTTTAATAATTTGAAGTCGCGATTTATCAATGGGCGTAACCGATGGTATATGTACCAAAATTAAAGTCGTTGACAGACTAAACTTCTGTATTTTTTTAAAATTCTTATCGCTTGTCACCTCCGAGTCGCCACCCCGATTTGTTAAAGATTTAGAAAATTTTTGATATGGTGCAAAAATTTTTTGGGCAATGTCAATTCAATTTTGTTTGTTCATTTTTTTATTTAGCAAGGCGCGTTGTAAATTTGAAAAAGATGCCGAAAAATAAAACTACTCTCCTGTAAATTGAAAGGAAATGTTATCTTTAAAGTAGAGGAGCACAAAAACAGAGTTTATTAACGAATAGATAGAGAGAAAACGTAATACCCATTTACATCAACCACCGCTTATAGTGAGCTTCTTTCTCTGTGGATTTTTTGTATGTGGGTTTTTTGGTAAGTGAGTATTTTTCTGTGTGAGCTTTTTTCTATGTGAGTTTTTTCGGTGTGGGTTTCTTTCCATGTGGGATTTTTTCACTGTGAGTTTCTTTCGTTGTGGGTTTTATTCGACGTGGGCTTTTTTCCTTTTGAGCATTATTTCATGTGAGCTTTTTTCTGTGTGGGCTTTTTTCCTGTGCGCATTTTTCGTGTGGGCTTTTTTCTGGTCACCACTGTCGTCAGTGCTTTTGGTAGTAAAACGGGAATTTATCTCGGGTTTAAATTCTTCCCCAAACTTAATAATCGAAATTATGATGTTTCCAACTCTTCCAAGTTAATTTTATTGATGGATCGCTTCTTTGTAAGATAATCTCTAACGTATAAAAGTAAAAAAACACAAATACTCCAGGATTTGCTCACAAAAGAAAAAAAATAACGAACGCATCCGATCCCTTTTGCTCATTTTTCAGTGAGAATGTTTCAAAGCTTTTACTCATAAATATTAAAAAATGTCAAGGTATTTCCGACTTTGTGGAGGAGCCTCGCGACCTCCGCGTGTACGAGGGACAAAGGGCTCATTTCGCGTGTCACGTGGTGGCGTCGCCGCCCGCCAAAATCCGCTGGCTGAAAGACGAAAGACCTCTCCAAATCGATGAATTACGAATGACTTTGCTTCCTTCCGGAGCGCTGGAAATCGACGAAGTTACAGAGTCGGATCAGGGCTCCTATAGGTACCCCCAATCCCCATTATTAAAATACCATTTTACGCAAATTTGTCTCAGGTGTAATGCCACAGGCTTGAATTTGTATAAACTAAGCAATAAGGCCACTTTGGTGGTGAGTGGGGAGCGGGAAGAGGCCCATTTCGTGTCCCCAACGTTCATCGCAAGGCCCAAGTCAGCTGTGGTCGTTGAAGGGCAGAATGTGTCGCTCGACTGTGCCGCTAATGGATATCCACATCCGACTATAACATGGCTGAAAGATGGGTCGACCATCGATATGACGTTAGTTGAAATAAAGAAATTTTTTTTTGAGTAGGTTTATGTTTTTTGTTGCAGTTTTCTGGATAGTAGGTTTAGTAAAGTCGGTTCAACGAGTTCCTTACGAATTACTAATATTAAAGAAGAGGATGCCGGGACTTATCAATGTCGAGCCGCGAATCGCGAAGATAGTTTAGATGCATCCGCCACAATTCAGGTTCAAGTAAGTTTCCCCTCAAAATCAATAAAATTGCATTTTGGTAGATAACAGTCGTTATCGGGATGCATTTGCTGCAATAGGGCGAGACCTTCCATTTATTTATCGGCTTTTTTTCCATTCATGCAAGCATTGACTTGTTTAAACAATTGTCAATTGTCAATGTCAAAATCAAAAACCAGATTGTACTTTTATTTTGCCTAATTTTAACCGTTTTCATATTATTGTGCATCGAAATAGTCATTGAAAAGAATCATTTAAGATGGCAACCATGCGAAAATTCAAATAATCCCAACCTCAATCTTTCCGAAAAATTATTTTCTCAAATAATCAAATAAATATGTGTACAATTGGAGACAAAATACTTTGTCCGTCAATGTCACTTGAGTGACATTAAATTGTAAATCATGCTTTAGGACTGTTTTAAAAATTGCCTTTTTTTTAAAGTTAATTTTTTTTTAAAACAATTGTCAATGTCAAAATTCCCTCAAAGACCAGACTGAACTACCCTAAAACCTTTTTTTCGGAACAGATGTATATTAAAATTTCCCTAGATTAGGTTTGAGGTTAAGTTGGTAATTTTCAAATGTCAGAAAAGACTCTTGTCTTTATTTCTTAATAAAGACGTTAAGGACACGGAAAAATGCAATTTTTTTTGAATCTGATTCAAAATTTTCAGACCACCAATCGTCTTCAGAATCTGATTCTGGAGAAAGTTGACTCATTATTGGAGGAATATAATAAAATATTGGATTAGTTATGCAATTTATTGGATGCCGTTCTTTTTTAAGAGTTTTTACACAACCAAAATTGTCAAATTCATGAAGAATTTTAACATGGTGGTTTTTTGTCTGCATGTATTCACAAAATATAATCATAGATATAATTTCTTGTTATGTTAAGGTCCAGATCCTTACTTTCGGAAACTCATTTTTATAAACGACTCTTCTTGAGATAAAACACAATTTCACAATAATTTATTCGAACAATTATTATAATTCAATTCAATTAGCTTGTTCAAGAGCTGACTCGTTATCGTATTAATTTCCTCAAAAACGGCAAGATTCACAAAAAGACCCTTTCGTAATAGTTCGTTCTAAAAGGGCAGCGTATACCCGCCATTCGCAACGTCACAGAAATAATTCTAATACCAACCAATTCCATCTTCAACATTTTCTGTGCTCTTTAAGTTGTACTTTTAATTTTAAATTTAAAAGTAATTGTGGCCTCAGTAGCACAAGCGCCTTCGTAACAAAACGGCTGACATTCAATTGATATTTTACGTTGCCAACGTAATAACATCAAATCACTAGTGGCTGATACCAACATGACAACACTTTGACAATTGTTTAAAAAAAATGGACTTTACGATATTTTAGTTTTTCTCTTTTTAATGTTGCTAATTTTATTAATTTTAGAGATGTAATGTATGTAATTTGATTTTTCTTGAGAAACAATTTTATTTTTGAAAATTATTGAATACAATCCAAAACGTGGATATCGAGAGATTAAAAAGTGAAAATAATATTAATGATAATTTGAGGCCATGGTAAAATTTTGTAATGGACACAATTTTTTTGATAAGAGAATCACAGATACAAAAAGTTATGTAAACAGATCTCGCATTATTTGTGATTTCGATAAAAAAGTTATCTAATGAATTCTAATTACAGTGATAAAATAATATTTTTTTTTACAAAAATGCATTTTGTTCAAAACAAAAACATTGAACTACAACAAATTATTTTCTTTCAGATTTTTGTTAAGTCGAATTAGCGATTCGAGTTATACAGGGATGCGCCAGAATTCGCGTCCCAGAGAAAAAATGTTACAAAAATTCTATCTATAAAAATTTCGAAGTTATGAGAGTTTAACATTTGCACTTTGACTCTATTTATTTCTGTTGAAAAAATAATTTTCCAAGTTTTTTTTTGCTACAGGCTATTAGAAGAGGTAACAATAAAGCTGTATCTTATATTCTAACCCTGTCTAATGTTATTTGTGGCTTTTATTGGCATTTTTTTTAAATATTACTAAATAATTATAACAAAACATATACAAGATCATCAGAATTATTAAATAGACATAAAAAAATGTCAAATGTCAAAAAATGAATGTCAAAATTTTTTGACATAGAATTTTTTAAACATTTTTTCCATGTTCCTGGTATCTTATCTTACTTGAAATTTTTCTCTGGGCCGCGAGTTCTGACATCCCTGTATTTTTCTGAATGGGCTTTGTATTACTCGTTTTCATATTAATGTGCATCGAAGTAGTCGTTGAAAAGGATACTTTTAAGGTGGCAACCATGCAAAAATTCAACAACCTCAACCTTCCCTAAAAATTATTTTTTCAAATAAATGTGTACTCCAGATAGCAAAAAAAAAAAATAAAATTAACAACGTAATTAACATAGGGTAGCAAACAAAAAGATTTTTGTCATTATTGATGTGAATAAATTTGTTCTGAATGACATTAATGACATTTTTGTGTGAATCAGCCTTTAAATTAAAGATGCATTTAAACTTCTACAACCTACTTGATGCACATTAATATGAAAAAGATTTTATTTTATTTTTCTACTGATATTTAGAAGTAAGCTTCATTAGTCGAGGTTTTTTGAATTCAGTTTAAAACTTTGTAAAAATAATTTTTTTCAAAATATTTTGTAATCTATTAAATAAAATAAAGGTAAAACAAGTTTTCCCTAATTAAAAAAAAAGATGTTACCAAAATAATTTGTCATAGGACTGCATAGTTTGAATAAGTTTTTTATTATTTAAGTGTGACGTTTTAGGTGCCTCCTAGGTTTAGGAAAAAACCCCAAGACAAAATAGAAAATGCAAATAAAGACATTGAATTAGAGTGTAGCGTTTACGGTAATCCTGAACCCAAAATCAGTTGGTTCAAGGACGGGGAAGCTATCATTTCGAACGACTATTATCAAATAGTCAACGGGTACGACGATATTTTTCTTCGATGATTTGTATTTGATTTTTTTTTATTTCAGTCATAATTTAAAAATAATGGGATTAATGCCTTCCGATTCAGGTATTTTCCAATGTTTTGCCTCAAATCCCGCCGGGAATATCCAAGCAGCGGCTAGCCTGAAAGTGATAAATCCAGGTTAGTATCGTTTCAAAAATCAATGTTGCATACAATATTTAAGTTGAACTTTCATTTATGATTTATTTTTATTTCTCCTGCCCCGTTCCTCGTCCCCGCTTGATTTATTACTAACTGCATGGTTTGTGCATGTGTAGGCCCGAAAAAGCCCAAACCTGGACGTAAAAAATCGAAAAAAAACCGCGACAATCCCATCGATCAAATGCAATCCTTTACTCTATTCTCCCACTTGAAACCTGACAGTTCCGCTCGACTTGGCGACGTAGATTTCGGTCATTTTGCACGCCGTAAAAATTTCTTGCAAGACTCATCTGCTTCAACTCAGACGATTTACGATCCTCAAAGAGCTTTTTCCTCGTTGAAAAGTAGCGAATCTTACGATAATATTAACTTGGGTGATACTCAACATGCTTTTTTCCCTCCCTCTTCCACATCTATTACAGCTGAAAGCTCAGTTGCGAAAACAACCGAGGGATTCCCGGGACCTCCGCAGGACCTTAAAGCCCCCATTGTCAAAGCGAGATTTGTCACCTTGAGCTGGAAGGCCCCACTGGTAAACAACGACAATATACACACTTATACGGTGTACTATAGACAAGAAGGCAGCGAAAGGTAGGTGTTTAGTTTGCGGTCCGGGTCAATTTAACTTATTTCTTTAGATGGCGAGTGCAAAATACGAGCAGGTCTCGACTTGAAGAAATCAACATTGCAGGGCTTACGCCTAGTAAAGTGTATCACTTTAGAGTGGTGGCGATTAATTCAGTGGGGGCTGGAGTGTCGTCAGAAAGTTTGACAGTTACGACACAATCAGAGGAACACGTAGCAAGTGCCCCAACACACTTTGTGGTTTATGCGACAAGTCCGCGGACAATTTATTTGAGTTGGAGGCCCCCAGAGACCCCCAATGGCAATATTTTGAGATACATGGTGTACTACATGGAGGTACTACATACATATTTTTTCTACCTGTTTTAAATTTCATATTTAAGACGAGTTCTTCGATTGAACATAATATTGATACAATTGAGTTGAAGTACCATTTAGTGGGTTTGTCCATTTATACCGAGTATAGTGTATGGGTAGTTGCTGTAAATGAGAATGGACCAGGGGCGGCAACTGAAGAAAAAATTGTGCGAACATTAAGTGCGTCACCCTCAGAACCACCTTCTAATATCACTTTAGAACCCACAAGCACGGTAATTTAATTACTTAGATGTAAAAAAGTCGCTATTCGTTTGTTTCAGACTGTTATAGTTCGGTGGGAACCACCACCACCCGAGTACCAAAACGGGGTTATAACCGGTTACAAGTTAAAATATCGCAAACAGGGTAAAAAAGGTGTGACTGTAACCACTTCAGCCAACGAACGATTTTACGTTTTGAATGATTTGGAACGAGGTGCCGAGTACCAAGTCAAATTATGGGCGATCAATGTCAATGGTACCAGTCCACCATCAGAATGGATTACCGTAGAAACGTACAAAAACGATTTGGATGAAACTAGAGTACCTGATTCACCTGGGCCTTTAAGAGGTACCAAAATTTGGTACTATTTTCCATTCTTTTCATTTGTTTTATTTTAGTACGACCAACTTCGAATAAATTATACGTCTTGTGGACCCCACCAACAAATCAGAATATTCGGGTCCGAAATTATGTTCTAGGATGGGGCAAAGGTATCCCTGACATGTATACTCAAGAATTAGACGAAAAGACTCGCAGTTACGTTATTGATAAACTCGAGGCGAATTCCGAGTACGTTTTGAGTTTAAGGGCTGCAAATCAGATGGGGCCCGGACCTCCGGTTTATACAACTGTGCGAACTCAAGATGAGCCCCCGCCAGAACCATCGCCCCCTTTGATCCCACCAGTGGGGCTCAAAGCGCAGATTTTGAGTGCCACATCGGTCGTACTCTATTGGACAGACACCACACTTAGTAAAAGTCAGGTTAGTAGAAAAAACAATGTGTGTGAGTCTGGATAATAAGTATGTTTTTAGTTTGTGCGAGACAATCGCTACTACGTGGTAAAATACACTGCTGAAAGAACGATGCGAACTCGCACCGTGAACGTGACAGACCTCAATGTAATGATCGATGACCTCAAACCAAACACGCTTTATGAGTTTGCGGTGAAACTCGTTAAAGGTTTGTTTACTTTAAAAAATGACGGTTTTAAGGGAATAGAGCAGCTAGTTACGAAAACTAAATCCGCATTAGGGGCGCCACCAGTTTCGAATCGCGTATTTTCTCGAATGCCAGCCCACTTGGGTCGACCCGTAAGAGGGTGGTGGAGCAGGTATAAAAATGTGGCTGCAGTTTCTTGACGAAATAAGCATTTGAGTTGGAAAATTTGTGTACCCTATTACTTGCGTTTTTTTATATGCTCGTAATAGGAGTACCAGCAAGGCGGCAGCTTTTTTGTCGGGGCGAGTCGTGGGTAAAATCCCTGGTGTTTTGGCTTAAGTTCACGAAAATTATAAGGGCGCCACTCAGTTTAATATTGGTAAAACTTCTAACGGAGAAGGAGGTATTTAAAGAAATTTACAAGGTTGATTAAAATTCCGTATATTGTATATAAAAAAGACGAAAGGCAGTGATATGGAATACACGAATTCTCTTACGTTAGGATTGGCCAATTCGCTCGCTCACAAAATGTTTTAATTTAAATTAACGTTGAAACTTGATGATTAAAAATTGACATGTTGACAAGGGGTTGAATAGTTATAACAAAAAAAGGAGTAAAATTTGACGGTAACGAAATTAATAAATAAATTAATTAATAAAATAAATTTAGAAAATGCACTAAAAAAAATCGAAGTCTTGACTTATCTGTCTCTCCGAACAGAATGACAAGGTCACTCAAGGTCGCACCATCAAAAGTAGGCTTGAAAATAAATTGGGGGCCTACACGTACTCGAACATCCAAAATTTGGGGACCAGGATTTCCTCCGACAACTGAGGGAGAGACGGTGGTTTCCGATTTTCCGAAACAACGAGTTAAAGAGTCAAAAAGTTAAAGAGGGCTTAAAATGGGGTATTAAAACCTTGAAAAAAAAGTTGAAACTTAACCTACTTTGGTGGTGGGCGCCCTCAATAGTGGTTCGATTGTTGCGGTAGTGTCATTACTTCATTAGTTTTACTATAATTATTCTGAGGCCATTTGATATAATTTTACTGGATTATTTGATTTTGTTGCTGGCTCTTCGTTTGACCTCTCGACACTGACCCGTCCCGTACCCGAATTTTGTACGGTCTTCGCGCATGATTCTTAGTTACCCCCCTTCTATTTTATTTAAACGTTACAAGAAACTTAAATTTGAAAAAAAAAAACTTTTAAATCAGTATTGAAATACCAACATTATCCACGAAAAATTAGTTAACACTGGTTCTTGAATAATTGAATATTGAATAATTCGATTACTAATTAATAAGTAATTACTAAGTAATATAAATATAAATGAATGGGCATTAGAAATTGATTAAGATTGATTTAACAGCGAAAATCGGTGTATAAAATTGGATAATAAGTATCAGGGATAATCTTTATAAAATCTCTAATATTTCGGCACACAGATCCGAATCCTAGAGCTACAGTATGTCCCCGGATAGAGTTTACAAGAGGAAAAAAATATCTTTGATTTTATGCCAAACCCGCAAAGGAAAAATTTTTTTTGCTTTACCTGAAACGAGCAGAGAAAAATTATTCGAAAGTCGAAAATCAAGAGAAAAATTAATTTTTATTTTGACTGAATCAGAATAACGAACTTATAAGTACAGATTTAAGTTTTAAGTAAAGCATGCAATATTTGCAGCTTCTTCAATGAAATTCATTTTACACTAAATTTTGACCAAGATTTGATAAATATCAAAAAAATATGTAACTAAACTAATGTTAACAACAAGCCATTTTGTATTAATTTTACTATAATTACTGAATCATTTTATTTTATTAAATGTCGAAGGGAGAATGAAGTTTAATTTAATACACCCTCTTTCAGGTGCTCGGAGTTTTTAAATAACCTCGCACCTAAAAGTAAGCTTTTTTAGTTTGTAATGTAAATAATTATTGAACTCCAAACGAATTAATTAAGTATGAATTTTCAGTTCTCATGTTCTTTTGGCTTCCCTGGGTTGAGTAGCACGGTCCGACCGGGATGTCATAAAAATTACAATAGAAATGGGCTGAGCCAAATATTGTGTGTGAATATTAAGCATAGTGAAACTAAATTCGTCTTTAATTTAATTAGCTTACACTCAAATTAAAAAAAATTGATGATATTGTTGTTGAAAAATTATTACTTCATGTCATGATTGAGAGAAAACACCTTTTTTTCTGTGAGATAAGTCTTGCATTGCAGTATGAAAAATGCAAAAATTTAAACAGTGATTTTGCAATAAATAAATTAGAAAAACAAAAAAACGCTCAATCATAACAACAGAATTACGGTTCTGATGAGTTTTGTAAAAAAAAATTATAAATTTCCCACAGATTTTTACTCTTGGCTTGAATAAAATTCGTGAAATTTTGATGTTCAAAATCATTTTACACCGTTATAAATAAATATACAGGGTGTTCCGTCTAAACCCCACTTTAGAAGTATTGGGAGTTGGAATAATCGTATTTATTTGAAAATTGGTACATAGCCATAATACATTAAGTCCTAAATGAAAATATTTTCAAGATGGCGGCACTTCCGCTTATACCGGAAGTCGGTTTCAACTTTCTTATTTTAAATGGAAAGCTATATTTTTTACTGCGTTTTTGGATTAATCGGGTGATTTTAAGGAAGTTTTCATCAGCTTTCCCTATACCTAATTTTAGCCGTTTTTGAAATATTTGACATTTTTCAAAAATTTTTGGATCTGCACCTTCCACTTTAAAAATCGGTAACTCTGCCGTTTTTAAGATTTTAAATTCGTTTTTTCGGCGTTTGAAAAAGAAAGCTTAGATACTTTTTCTGGTGTTTTCAAATTAAAAAAAAAAACATATTCCAAAATTTTACTTTTGTAATAATTCAAATACCCATAACTCAATTTTTTCAAATGAAATACCCCAATTTTTATTTTACTAAATAGAAGAGAATTTAATTGTGCATTGATCTGTATTAACATTCCCTATACCTAAAGTTAATAATTTTCAAGTTATGGACTTTTTTTAAGACTACAGAAAATTTATTACTAGTCACACCCGTTTTCACATACTTTGCTAAGGAAATCAAAAATGTCAAAATTGTTTCTCAATAAACGTTGACTTATTATTTGACAAATAGTGCCAAAATATGACATCGGTATAAACGGATGTGGCTAGTAATAGATTTTCGGCAGTCTTAACAAAAAGTCACCATAACTTAAAAATTATTAAATTTAGGTATAGAGAATAGAATGTTAATGAAAAATTGAGTTATGGGTATTTGAATTATTACAAAAGTAACCTTAAAATTTAATGGTTTGTTATTTTTTTTCAAAATTTGAAAACACCGGAAAAAAGATCTAAACTTTCTCTCTCAAACGCCAAAAAAACGAATTCAAAATTTTAAAAAATAGCAGAGTTACCGATTTTTAAAGTGGAAGGTGCAGATCCAAAAATTTTTGAAAGACTCCAAATATTTCAAAAACGGCTAAATTCAGGTATAGGGAAAGCTGATGAAAACTCCCTTAAAATAACCCGGTCAATCCAAAAACGCAGTAAAAAATATAGCTTTCCATTTAAAATAAGAAAGTTGAGACCGACTTCCGGTATAACCGGAAGTGTCGCCATCTTGAAAATATTTTCATTTAGAAGGACTTAATGCATTATGGCTATGTACCAATTTTCAAACAAATATGATTATTCAAACTCCCAATACTTTTAATGTGGGGTTTAGACGGAATACCCTGTAGAATTCTTTAAATATTTTTCCGCAATATCTTATAACTTTAGTAAGCTATGTTTCTATATTATCAAAAAAAAAATGTAAAAATAATTTTGGTGTTCTATACCCTTAAATTAACTTAAAATCAGGTCGCAAGGAGAGTCCCTGGAGCATGGTTGTGCAGAATGCGACATGGGAATTGGCCCCGAATGCGTCCCCGAGGGACTTGGATGTGCATTTAAAAGAGGACGAACCGCAATTGGTGGAATTGACATGGCAACCCCCTAAAATAACCAGCGGTCGAATAACAGGTTAGATCGAGTTTATCTTAATTGGGTTTTTTATCGCCCGCTTTCTCAGGTTATGTGATCTTATACACGGATAATAAAACAAAAAGCGATCGCGAATGGCTGGCACAAGCAACCAAGGGTGACAAGCATTCAGCCGTGTTGGGCGACCTTAAGCCTAACACCGAATATTATTTCAAAGTTCAAGCACGGAATAGTAAAGGTTATGGACCTTTTTCTAACGTTGTCATTTTCACAACGGGGTCAAGTAAGTACAAATTTTCGCATAATGTAATTTGTTTTATTTTTTTGTGTGTTTGTTTTCTTTTTATTTTTATTAGATGTTGGTACTTTGGTAAACAGTTCGCGGCAACATTTAGGTAAAGACACTACTCGTTTTTATGTTTTTTGTTTAATCATTGTTGTTGTTTCAGACGGGAAAGGAATTTTTTCCGGTACTGTTATCATATACTTCCTCATCGGAGGTTGTATCATCGCTGTTACGACGATAGGTGTCGTAACAATCGTTTTGTGTTGTCGGAGAAGAGACGCAACTGCATCTCCGGATAGAAGTAAAAAAGGTTACCAGAAAGGTAACCAAAGTGTCAAACCACCGGATTTGTGGATCCATCATGATCAAATGGAGTTGAAAGCTATGGAAAAAAGTCAGTCGAATCATGATGGTGCTAGTAGTAGTGGCGCAATGACTTTACCGCGAAGTGTGGGAGGTAACGATTATGACCCCCACGAAACTGGTATACACACAAATTCGTTAGATCAACGCACTTATGTTCCTAACTATATGGGTAAGTTTAGTTTAGAATATTGGTATGCATGCTGTCAACGGATTTTTGGTTGAACATCATATAGAATACGTTAGTTAAAAGCGCACTACTCTGATAAATTAACCTAAAATAGAAAAACAGGTTTTAAACATACAGGGTGACCCAGGGGTGCGTGCATACTCAACAACTTTTTTTCTATCGAAGTTATCGATATTTTTTTTAAGGATATATACAACAATGAGGCACATTATAAGAATATTTCTATTCATATACTTCTATTCATATATGTCCCAATTAGGATACACAACTAAGTTCTGTTTTTTTAATAAAAACCCCAATTTTTATTACATTCCTGGATTTGCCACTAAATTGTCAATATAACGCACCTTGGTTTCCAAGATTTACCTGCAATAGTTTTTGACTTATGCCAATTTTTGTGTCAAAATTACATCGTACATAGACCCACAAAAAATTCATAACTTCAAAATTATTCCAGATACTTTAACCAACTTTTTTCCTGTTGATTCCTTAAGCTTTAGTGCGTCTTTTGAGATAAAGGCAAACTCGGAGTCGATGTTTCATCGCGTACTACGATTTTTTGAAAATGACAAAATACAAATCGCAATAACTCGACTTCTTCAAATACAACACTATATTTTATTGCATCATGGCATGGCATTTTTTATGAGCTCTTTGTCGATATAGGATTCATGGGGTCTACTTTGTAAAATTTATGAGATTTTTGCAAATTAAGTAATGTTGATGATTTTTTTCTGAAAAAAAAAATCGAGTAGGCCGTTATCGTTTGACACATCTGTGCAATTCTGCCAAAAATGTGTTTCAATAAAATGAAATTGTAATAGAAACAGGAGTACATCACAATAAAGGAAACAATTTTAGTAATCTTTACAAAAATAGGAAGGAATGATTAACAGAAAACAATGTAAAAAGTAAAAGTTATTGCCATTTGTATTTTGTCATTTTCAAAAAATCGTAGTAGGCGATGGAATATCGACTCCGAGTTTGTCTTTTGCTCAAAAGATGTGCTAAAGCTTAGGGAATCGACTGGAAAAAAATTGGTTAAGTTGTCTTGAATAGTTTTGAAGTTATGGATTTTTTTGTGGGTCCTATGCACGATAGAATTTTGACACATAAATTGGCATAAGTCAAAAACTATTGCAGGTGAGTCTAAGAAACCAAGGTGCGTTATATTGATAATTTAGTGGCGAATCCAGATATGTAATAAAAAATTGTGGTTTTCATTAAAAAAAACGGAACTTCGTTATTTGAGACACCCTGTATATGAATAGAAATATTTTTATAATGAGCCTCATTGTTGGATCTATCGTTTTAAAAATATCATGTCGATAACTTGGATAGAAAAAAAGTTATAGAGCATGCACGAACCCCTGGGTCACCCTGTATTTTTTCTATAGACTAAAAATATAAAAATATGAGTTTAAAACGACAAAACTAAACAACAAATTCAAAAATTTTATTCTTCGTTAAATGTTTCCAATAAGTTTTCTTAAAAAACATTCAATAATTTTAATACTTACTTAATTTAAGTGGTGAAAATTGGGAATTGAATTTTTTTTAGAAATTCAGTTTTTTTTTTATTTTGACGATTTTTTTACGAATCTGCAAAACGCCGAAAACAATGAATTAGGCCGAATTTTCTGGTTTCTTGGACGCATTTCAGGGTTCTCTAGACTTCTCACGTAATAAGTGACGACTAAAGGTTTTTTTCGTCCTGACTACATACACTCACCGGCAAAATTATCGCATCACTTAAATTTTAGGGTTTAATGGCTAAAGGGTTCTGAAAATTATACTAAAATTGATGATATAGGATTGTCAAGTAACTCAGTCGTCTATGGATTTAAAAAAAATGGTGTAGACTCATTGTTTACTGATTAAATATCAAATTATCAAAATCACCGCTAATTTTCGAGAGACAACAATAAAAAACTGAGCTTTTTTTCAGGCTCCAGGAGGCCTCCGAATGTAAAAAAAAAGCTTATCTAAGCTAAAAAACTGATTCGCACGAAATTCGTTTTTTTGTTTCTTTTGACAATCATTAAATTGTAATTTAATTGTTGAAGTTTAAGTCGTAATTTTAGTTTAACTTAACGTTAATTAGTTAATTAATTAATTTTTGATTCATTTATTTACTTTTATGCTTTATTATCAATAAAAAAAATCACTTTTCTAATGTGATGCGATAATTTTGCCGGTGAGTGTAATTTACTCGAAATCACAAACACACGAAAAGTTTTAGCGTTTTTGATTGAAAATTTTGGCCGTTGTTCATAATTGCCATAAAAATCTACGTGTGTTCCTAAAGAATAAAAAATTTCAATCATACATATTTTGAAAGTTTGATTGGGAATTTGAAAAATGTATTTTATTTGAATTAATTTTTATTTCTTTTTAAATATTCGTAGTGGTCAAAATTTCCTCGTTCTGACCGCAAATTTTGCAGTTTTCTCATAATGAAACTACCAAAAATTTTCTAATGTGAATGTGGAAACCCGTTTTTGTGACTGAAAAACAGAATTCCTACTAGTGCAATATTTTTTTGCGATTCCATGAATGCTGGAAAAATTGGTTTGTTTTTTGATATGATATGAATTAGTTGAAAAACGTTATTTGTCTCAATTTCGAAACTGACTTTTTTTAAATTTTGTTGTTAATCGTATTTGGATAAATCTGGTGAAATAAAATTTACATTATTAGAATTAAACATGATTAAATCGGCTTTCATGAAATTGTTTTTAAACCTTTTTTAATGAATTTCGTACCAAATTTTAGCGATTATTACTTAGACAAACAATACTTTACATAATTTTCACCCCAACGTAACCATCAGATAATCCATTTTCGCTTAATTGCTTTCTCTTTTTCCCCTTTTACGCGGCTTTCGCTAACCCAAAAAAATCAATTGATTCGTTATCCTGGCGTAATGAATAAAAATAACGTGTCTGTAAAAATACGACCTACTTTAGAGCGCTTTTAATATACACTACCTAGTTTTTTTTCTTTTATTTATGCACTTTTTCGCTTTGCTACACTTAGGTGTTTCCCCTGATGATAAAATCAAACGACCAATCAGATCTAAGCCAATTATAACGTTACCAGTGGTCTCCACACCGCCGAGAGAACGTAAGTATTGGCTTGCATGTGCTGTTTGTGTTAGTGTAAAAAACTAAAGTTAAAAAAATCACTATTGAAATAACACATTTGCTGTTTGTAATACAGGGTGTTTACAGTCTTGGAGTCGAAATTTAACCTAGTAATAGAAGAGTACAGAAATACTGTAATCGAGAAAAAAAACTCACACAATTGTTATTATCAAGAATGTTATTTAACTCCAAAATATTGGTCCAGGGTTTGAGGGTCACTGGAATTATTTCCTTGTTCAGATAAAATTGTATTGTTGCAACAGATAAAAAAATCGTATCCATGACAATAAAAGAGAAAAGTCACTTCATAGTTTTGACACTGTTATTATTTGATTTGCTTTTGCTTTAGTTTTTATCAAAATTCGAAGATCTTCTGTTTAATCTCTTTCAGCGAATGGTTTCCAAGAGGTTTGATTCGTTTTTCTTAATTTTTCTCCAAATTTATGAACATAACATATTAAAATAATAAATTGGTTGTCGTGATTATGATTTACGGTGAAACCCAAGGTAATGATACTAATTGGCCATTGTTGCAGCCGAAGCAGCAGTTCTCAAACAAATAGTGTAAAATGAATAATTTCCTTTAACAACTTTTTTGTTTTATATAGCGTATTAGTTTTCTTTTACCGTGAATATCATCTCATTTAAATTTCAACCTCAAGACCGTAAACACCCTGTATAACAAAATATAAGAAAAAGTAAATATTTTGCAGCAATAGCAACCCCAATTAATACCACATCTCTAAGCCAATCGAGCACAGACTCGACGCCTTCAAGTCGGCCTTCATACCCCCGTACTCAATACAACATGGCACGAGCCCATGTGACTGTAGATCCGTTATCAAACCCCGAAAATCCTTACGCCTTGCATCCTTCAAGCTGGACCGAATCCAACATTAGGTACTAAAAAATCACTAAAACAATTATTTTATTAATTAATTCAAATGTAGTCAAGTGCCTCCGATGGGGGCCCACGTCCCTTCCACGTACGCCCCCGGTCTGGGCGTCCTCGCCGAGTCCCAGGGGTGCAAACGCGTTCCGGCTCAAAATCATCCCTTGAAGAGTTTCACAGTGCCGGCTCCGCCCCCCATTTCGGCCCCTGGGACGCCCCAGCCGAAACACATAGGTGAGTTGGTACACCTGGGAAAAAAACTATTCACCAGTCTAACTTTCTGCTCACACTACTGCGCTTTGTTGCAATAGTGTTTCCGACAAACTAGTTGGGGAGCAGGTAATATGTCGAAAAACTCTTATTTAGGAAGCTGGTCCGGACTCGGGGACACACATTTCTTCAAAACGGTATTTTTCGGAAAATTTCGGAAAATGGTGATTATAATAATTTGCAAAATGACACTAAGCAAAATTTTCATTACCTTAACAAAATTTTTGTAATTTACTTTTACTTTTGTTAGCTAGTTTCTTCCGTTTTTTATATTTATTTTTATTACTTCTAAACAAAGCAAAAAAACCAAAGTGGTAAATTTATTGCCATAATAATAATAATAATAACTAACATTATACAGTATGTCCCCCGATTTTTTTATTTTCGCTAACACTGCAAAAGAAAAACATTTTTTGCTTCACCTGAAACCAAGTCTGTAATTTTAAAAGTTCATTATTTTCACTCATTGGAAAGAAAATTTAATTTTTCTCTTGATTTTGAGCTTGTAATAACGAATAACACTAGTTTGCAAACATTACGACCTTTAATCGAATTATTATTTTTATGTTAACTTAACCTTTAATTAAACAAAAATAATTATTAAATTTTTCTATCACGTCACACTTTTTTTGTTACAGACGATAATTTTCCTGTTTTCTGCACAAATGCCTCCGATTTCAAATTTATTTAAATTCAAATTGTTGTTGAATTATTGCAAAATTATTACTATATGGGTCTAAATAGGTCTTAAAAACATTTCACTCACAATTGGGCTTCTTTTCTAAAAATTTAGGGAGCATGAGTTACAGACAAAACGAGCGTTTTAATCAAGATCTGAAGGGTTTTCAAAGATCGACACGAAGGTTTTTGGGATGAAAATAGGTTAGTAGATTTCTGTTGGATTGTTATAAAGAAAACTGATCCAAAAAGTATAATAAAACCAAGTAAATAGTTTTTTTTTTGAACTCAGTGCCTCAAAATCTAAATAAATTAACTTTCAGCTAAGGTATAAAAATCGTGTATAGAAATAATGGATTTTGTAAATATAATTGATTCAATCTTAATTTTAGGCTGAAATAAGGCAATTTGTGATATGTTCAATCGATTTGGCTCAATTTAAAGTTGGGAATCAACATAAATCAAAGTATTTCAACCAAATACTGGCTTTAGTAAGAGTTTTCTTCTATAATAAAGCAATTTGAGCTATTTTCAATCCAATTTTGCTCGATTTTAATACAGAATTAATTCAAAACTAATGTATTTTATAAATTAGTGTAATTTTTTTTCTGCGTTTTAAATCCCACATTAGTGTTTTATTTTTTTGACAACGATGTCGTTGTGACATGAGTTAACGCAAGTTAAATAACAAAAATGTTTGTAAAAAAACATAATTTTAATAAATGGCAAGTCAAAAAAAACAGCTTCTAAAAAACACTCATTTTTAACAAAAACAATCATTATTCAATTAATTAATTAATTGTCAAAGTGACATCGTTGTCAAAAAAATAAAATCGCCAATGTGATGGGACTTAAAAAGCAAAGAAAAATTATTATTACAAGACCACAAGTAAGAAAAAAATTAACTTTTCTTTTGACTGGTTATTATAAAATGTATTATTTATTATTATAAATGTATGTAATTAAGTTCAGAATTTTGATTATAAAGAAATAAAATACCAATAAAGAAATAAAAAAATCACGGTTTATTAAAAAATTCTGGCATTTAAAACTAGTCCTACAATCTTGATTTTTGAAAACTATAGATAAAGAACCTTAAGGTTGAACTATACTGGGAAGTAATGTGTTTCTGGCACACAGGTTGGCGCCATATTTAGCGCCGTAACTGACAACCCAACATACACTTGGTCCGAGTCAAATAGATTTGGCTCATTTCTTCGTTTCTTTGTGATACAACACCAGTCTTTCATATTTCTACTAGCCACTAAAGGGCTTTTTTCTAAACGTAGGTCATACGAGAACCATCAATTTATAATTGAATTAAATTAAATTGAATTGAATTGAATAACCGCAATTCAATATGAGTAATAATCAGTAATCACTCTTGTTTATTAATTAACATAATTTTTGGTTATTTGTTTTTTACTAGTTTTCAAGCGAAAGTAAAATTTGAATTTTTAAGAAAAACAGTAAACAAATTAGTATTTTTACAATTGGATGTTGTTCCTTAATTAACTCAGTACCTCACACACACAGTAACACAGAGTTTTATTTAATTTTGAATAATTGTAAGGGATTGCAAAATTCAATAGTTTTTATTTTTTTATGAAAAAACACATTATTTAAATTGCATGAAAAAAATACAGTAACATAAGTAGGTAATCTACAAAACGCCAAAAATAAATCAAAAGATTTTTCCGTATAGTTTTTTTATAAAAAAATAAAATGGCCAAGAAATAGAGGTTTTTTTAAATTTATTTTTAAACGACACGGACAAAAAATTTCAAATTAATATACATATATTGCTGCTAAGGCCATCAAAAAGATAACGATTAATTTTTTTATTCAGTATAGTTCAACCTTAAAAGTCAAGTCAAGCTAAAAATGTTTTTCCTTTGCAGTTTTGGCGTAAAATCAAAGGTAAATTTTTTTCTCTGTAAACATATTGTATATTTGCAAAATACATTTCTTAAATAAATTTATGTATTTGTAATTTGATAATTTGAGCAAGCTTGTTTATTATAATCACAATTTAATGTATACGTTATAATCTATGCTCATTGAAGTAATTTTCATAAAAAATAATTTTTCGGGTCCTAAATAAGGGTTTTTTGACATATTATCTGCTCTCCAACTAGTTGGTCTGAAACGCTATTGCGACAAAGCGCAGCCCGAGTACAAAGTTCGACTAAGGAAAAAAAAAGGGGAGTCACTAAAATGGTTGCAGTGAGGCCCAACTCGTCGCCATACAAGAAGCCGCCGACGAGCAGTTCGAGTACTTTGGCGAGTACGCCGCCCTCTAGGATAAATCCGACGAATCCGCCCCCACATACCGCTGAAGAAGTACAAAGACTGCAGCCGTCACACTCCACCGAGGAACTGAATCAGGAAATGGCGAATTTGGAAGGACTCATGCTCACACTTAGCACAATCACAGCGAATCAGTTCGAATGTTAAAGTGAGAGACGGACGATGTTAGGCAGCTTTAGTTTATTTATTTCGTGATTTTTGGTTGATATTAGTGGCGCGAATGGGACTTGGGACTTTTTTGTTAGTTATACAGATCTCAACGTAATTTTTAAATCGCCAATCGGTACAAATTGGCAAGGCCTACTTTTATATGCCATAAATAGACTTAAGTGAATTTTGTACGGCCATTTTATACTTCTAATGACGACTCAAAACTAGTTCATTTTTTAGTTGTTAATGTGATACGACAGGTCCACGATTCAGTATTCTTGCCTCGATTTGGTGGTGATCCGAATTGGCCCTCAAATAAACGATCACCAAATCAACGATTTTATTTAAATATTTTTCTAAACGTTCTAGAAGAGTACAATCAATTGATATTTAAATAAAATGGTGATAGCCATGCTTGTATATACTACCTGTAAAAAGTTCTGTATTTATTAAATAAATCGATTTTTACATTTTGTATTATTGTACATAAAAACGTAAAATATATTTAAATTTTTTACATTAGTACTAAATGTAATTTACATAATCTGCTACGATGCTTTAATCTGAGTCCATGACATGGAGAAGCGTACTTTTCGCCATGTTTATACAGTATTTTTTTTTGTTTTGTTTAGAATTGTACCTTCTATGAAACGATTCAGTGTTGTTTTTTTTTCATAATGTACGTAATAATGTGATGTGTGAGATTAATTGGCTACTTGCAGGCATGTTTCAATTTCACTTGCCTTATAAATTGTTAATGTAACATATTTTACGAATCTTTTTTACTGTAGTAGTAGTTAGCTACTTACTATTACAATTTATGTGACTGATATTAAAATATAAGGATATATATCGAATTAAACACTTTTTATTTAAATTTCCCGCCTTTTGTCCCGTAGATGTCGCTCGATTCGTTTATCTTACTCAATCGGACTAAACAGCGAACTGCCAAACATTTCAATTCTGTTATCACCTGAAATAACAGGTTGAGTGTAATCCAATTTTTCTTTTTTCCCAAATGTTGAAAGTCCCGATTGATTTTATTTCGGATGTTTTTTGCAAGTTTTCTAATGTGAGATAAGATCCAACTAGTGTTACGTACCTGTCAAGTTGTTCACGTTGTTTGTTGCAAGGTAAGCCCCCTTCTAATCAATTTTTGTTTATTGAAGACAAACTATTGATTTTGTATTGAAATTCAAATTGGCACCGTTTTTGTTTAGAAGCGGCCTTTGAAAAAGAACCGTATGGAATAATGTCGCTTGACATTATTTAACGAAGGTTAAGTGATTTTGATGGTTTAGAGGACGAAATAATTATAAATCGCGTCTCCGAAAGCGTTCGACTCATCATCTGGGTTAATTACGCGAAATTTTTGAGATATGTAACAAATCGAATAAACAACGTTCGTATGCAAACAATTAACATAACTGGTTGGGTACCTGACACCAGTGACACCACATGCTTTGCATATTGAAACACTCAGGGGCTCCTGAGCTAAAGACAAATGAAAATTTTGGTACCGAATTGGCCACAAAGTCTGACTGAAACTAAAACTGCGTTACATAATTTAATGATACAATCTTATTTTTATTATATTGATACAAACTTGACTTTGAAGCGATTTGCAATTTATGTAACTTTTACATAATAAATAATGTGGTTATTATGAGCAACTTGTCTTTCTTTGATTAAACAATGAATTAACAATAGTTAAGTACTTGTCTTATTTTTAAGTGTTAGTAACAATAACCGGTTCTAGAATTTATATAATCACCGTGTTTAATTTTTTTTAATCTATTTTCACGGTCCTGAATCCTGGTTATTGCTTAAATATTATTCTCAATATTACTATCACACACTTTGTGCCGGAAGTACTCAGTAGATTCATGTTTGATGGCACCAGGGTCAGGTTTTTAATTGATGAATGAAATTGTTTTGTGACACACATTTTATTGGCTTGTCCGGCTTCCGTTATTTATATTTTTAAAACAAGTGGAAATAAAATGAATATTAAAATGTTTCAATTTAGAAAAACTGCCGTTTTTTATTAGCTAGATTGCTTTTATTTTCTGAGATAAAATGCATTACGTAAGGGGCAATTAATTTTTTTGGTCACTCACGTTTTATAAAACATGTATTCTTGTCTTAAAAATGTAGCAGATCTGAAGTTTTAAATTGAAATTGGTCTACACTACACTTAAGTACAACCTATCCTATCAACTAAGTTTTACGTTTTTATTTGTTTTTGGATACTGTCACTTCTACAAAAGTTTCATACAAAGTGTGTCAAATGACATTTGACATTTTTTATATGTCTTTAATGATACTGATGATCTTGTATATGTTTTTTTACAATTATTTAGTAAAGGTGCAAAAATTTTGCCAATAAAAGCCACAAATAACATTAAACAGAATTACAATTTAGGATACAGCTTCCTTGTTTTCTTTTCTAATAGCCTGTAGCAAAAAAACTTGGAAAATTATTTTTCCAACAGAAATAAATAGTCAAAGTGCGAAATTTAAACTCTCATAATTTCGAAATTTTTATAGATAGAATTTTTTTAACATTTTTTCCGTCTTCCTGGTACCTTACCTCATATGGCATTTTTCTCTGGGACGCGAGTTCTGGCGCACCCTGTATAGGTGTCCGGAAAGTCGCGCACTTCCTTGAAAGGAAGTAATTGGGTAGTCCACCAGAGAACTTAAAAAATATTTAAAAAATTCTACCTGTCAAAAAAATTGACATTTATTTTTTGACATTTGACATATTTTTATATCTATTTAATTTATATTTAATTTAATGATACTGATGATCTTGTATACATATGTTTTTTATAATTATTTAGTAAAGGAACAAAAATTTTGTCAATAAAAGCCACAAATAACATTAAACAGAGTTACAATTTAGGATACAGCTTCCTTGTTTCCTCTTTTAATAGCCTATAGCAAAAAAAAACTTGGAAAATTATTTTTCCAACAAAAATAAATAGAGTCAGAGTGCGAAATTTGTTTAACATAACTTCGAAATTTTTATACATAACCCCATGATGCAGTGTCACGGAGGTGCGCGACTTTCCGGACACCTGTATTTTTCTGAATTTTTGTAAATAATTATTATGATGTTACAATAAATAATAAAAATTAGTTTTGAGTTTGATATTATGTACTTTGTTGCTTTAAATGTTTTTTGTATTAAAATACTGTTTTTCTGTGTGAACAGTTTTACAAAATATCAAAATTATGAGAAACAAAAATTAAAAAAAAAATACAAAAGTTGCTTTCAAACTATGCTTTCTGACACTAGAAGTGCAACATTTTCAAAAACTTAAACTTTTGTCATCATTAAAAAATATGGCACAAGGAATAAAAAATTACATTATTCTTGTGTGGAATTAGTTAAAGTAATAAAGTGGGTGAAGCTCGCGTCTCCTATGAAAATTAACAATTAATTTAATATTTAATTAACTTAATAAACTTTTTCATTGAATGTGGAGTTGACTTTGATACATTGATATTACTTAAATTACTTTAGTTTAAATTGAGCATTTTATAACTTTGTTTTAATAGTTATTTTTGTTACAAGTATCTAAAATACAGGTTTTGCGGACGAATCGTTGTTTCCGGACGAGGCGAAGCCGAAGATGAGTCCACAAAAACTTTTTAGGTATGTGTTACAATCAACATTTTTTAAGAGCTCCCAAAAAACGAATTTACACCTTTTATTAATAGAAAAAAAATCCACCATAGTAACCACATTGACTTTTGTCCGGAAAAACTGTTTTTTGGGGATTGAGTATCTAAAATAACCATTTTACGTTTAACATAGTGTAGTTAATATATTTTTGTATTAAACAGGTGAAGACGGCAAGTCGAAACGTTAATCACATTTATCACCTTTTGAGATTGGTGGATTTAAGAATCTAATAACTTTCTTATGCAAGCAAAAATTACTTCTTTGGCTGCACTTTTTGGGAAACTATTGCCGCTGGCACTTGACATTTTTCTCAGGGGCGCCAGTTCTGTCACTGGCACACTCTGTATATGTAAATATTGTCATTGCAAAGATGTAAAACAGATTTTGCATTGGGTAGTTCTAATTACATCAATAATAAAAAAATATGAATGTTTAAACTGACAATAGAATTAAAGAGTATTTTATTTTTCGGGTGTTTGCAACACTACAGGCGAATATGTCAAGTATTTATAGTAATAAAATTGTTGGTCACTGTGTACAATTGTACAACTGTCAACAATTGGAAGTAACTCCAAAAGTTACTCTAGTTCTACCAATTGAAAATAAAATTAAGCATTGACAACTCAGTCATTCTTTGTCACCAGGTTTTTCACAGGTAGATAACGTTTTAAGAAATTTGTGTATACAGGAACATCTACTATGTTGCCAATATTGATTAATGTCATACACGACCGCTGAATAATAAACAACCACTTTATGAGTATATATGTACATATTTTAGACGTTAGTTATTTATATTTGTTTTGATATTACTCAGAAAGTTTCCTATATTTTGTTTGTTACATTACGCAAATTTTCACTAGACGGTAAATTAATGAAAAAAATTGAAAGGTTACGAAACTTGCGTCGGTTCCAAAATATGAGTTGGTCGATCTTAACGAACCATCGATTTGCAAACAAAAATAGCCTATTCGATCTTGGCATCTTCTCATGTTATTAAAGTGATGATCCATAACGGAATCACTTGAAACCTCCCTAAAGGTTACACGTGCCCTTTATTCTCTTACATTCACGTAAACGACATTCTCATATAATTGCATCAATCTGAAAAGAGACTCTTTTAATAATTGTTAACGAATTTATTAGCATTTATTTTTAGTAAATTAAGCAAACGGAGTAATGTAAACTTGTGGCAGGTGGGCGAGGTCGATGAAGATTTCGGAAGAAAGAAAATTGTGTAAAACATGTCACAAAGTTGGCAAAGCGTGAATGAAACTTTGTGACGTCTGCAAAGAAAATGAACGAAGCGAAAAGACTAAAATTAGAAGTGTCAACAAAGCCAACATTAATTCCAATTTTAGCAGACGTTTTAACCGAGGAATTGCCACTAATCGAAGTTTATTTAGCAACAATCAAAGACCCCAAAACTATATCTAGAGTTGTAGTGGAATTAAACACAGTATTACCAATTCCCGAACTGACTCATTTGAAGAGAGTCAAAGGGAAACAAATTTTACTTTTCCCTAAAAATATTGTCGAGAGAGACAATGTCTTGAGTTATCTTACCGAAAAAGGGTTTAATACGGACTTAATTGAGGGTGATATCAAAGTCGGGAAAGTGGCTCAAATTGCTCCAAAGGTACGCAAACAATACGAAGTTGTCCACAAACTGTGGCCTTGTAATTTCCACAGTAATCCCTACCTGGAAAAACTGAGCACAAATTCGCTTTTCTCGCAAAGTGAGTTGGAAAAACACGCGGAATTTATGAGAATTGCGATCGATATTTGCGAAATAACGGGAGTGAAGGAGAGTGCAGTTGTGGTTGATCCTGTTGGTAACACTGTCGTGGCTTTTGGGTTCGACTTAAGCCAGGAGTACCCAATCAAACATGCCGTAATGGTGGCAATTGACGAGGTGGCAAGGAGTCAAAAAGGAGGAGTTTGGGTGAGACACAAGGACTATGAAAAAATTGAAACTTTCATTAAAACGAAATACAAAGATTTGGAATTTGGGTTCAGCAATTCCGAGGAGGGTCCTTATCTTTGCACCGGGTACTCCGTCTATTGTAACACTGAACCTTGCATCACTTGTGCCATGGCTTTGGTTCACAGTCGCGCGAAACGAGTTTTCTACGGTGTGAAAAGTGCCAAAGGTGCTTTGGGAAGTTTGTGTAAAATTCATATCGTGGAGAATTTGAATCATCATTACGAGGCGTTTTCCGGCTTGTTGGAAGAGGAGTGATTTTTTCCTTAATTTGTGTACAATGTGTGGGATTAAAGCGAGTGATTCCTTGACCTCTATAGAATGGATAGATAGTCGTTAAACTTTTGTTATACGAGATAACGCTCGCTTTGATTACAGATATTAACAGAAACATTTTATTTGAAACGTGGTGTTGTTAAGCGCAAAGTGCTAGGATTTCATTATTATGGAGCTTTTGGTAATTGGTTTTGAGGCGAAGCAATGGATCAAGATACGGTAATGAAATTCATTGTTTAAATTTTGCTCCGAAAACAACTGCGTCATTAGTTTAGATAACTAAAAATTTGTGCATTTGTTTTATTTGTAGTCAGCTGGTTGGTTTTAAATCACGCGTTACGTAAGGACGATCTTAATTAAATGTAACATTTATTTGTTTTATACTGCCATCACTATGATTATGATAAAAAATTGTATGCTTATTGTGAAATATATTTTTTATCTTGAATATTTGTTTATATTTTAATGGTCTGCTAAATCACAAAGTTCATGGGTGCAAGTAGTTTCCTTATAGGAAATTTGCATCAATATTAAAAGAAAATGGCAACAAAGTAAATGCACAGTATATTATTTAAAATGTCAAGTATTTTTGATCAGTAAAAATAATAAATGCATAGTAAAAATAATAAGTGCAAGTAAACTAATAAATGCACAATAATAGCTATTAACATACCTAGGATGTAATGAATGTCATAACAGCTGCAGATGTCAGTTTGGAATCTGAGCGAGGATTTTAAGACATCTAAGGCTGGTATGACATTATTACATCCGAGGTTTGTTTGTTTCGGAACAAATTAAATCCAAAAATTGGAACAAATTAAATCCAAAAATTTTAGGATGTAATGACTGACAGCTGTAAATGTCAGTTTGAAATCCGAGCGAGTTTACAATTTTACAATATCGATATGTCAGTAAAAATGACATATCGATATTGTAAAATTTTACAGCAATCAATAAGGTTATGCCATAGTTACCAGACTATTTTTGTGCATGTAACATTGCTCTTAACAGACACAAACCGATAAAATAATAAATGCACAGTAATAGTATATTATAATACTAGTTTATAAGCAAGCCTTTAAACCACGCACAACGGGTTTAAGAGCGAAGTGCTTTTAACGTCGTAAGTGTTTTAAAGGCGCTAATAAACGAGTGTTATACGTTATTTTTTATTATTTTATGAGCATTGAAAAAATGTGAATTTACACAATAAAATTATCAAAGGTTGTTTGTGAATCGTTTTCGTAGAGACGGTTACTAGTTTACGTTGTTAAGCACATTTTTTCACGTTGTAATTGGTCCAGACATTTCACTATTTCTTGTTACCTAGACAACTTTAAAATTTTAGCGTGCTATAAAGGCACAATTACGCACGCTGCAGCGTGATTTAATTTAGGATTATGATGCAGGTATTATAAAAAAATAGTAAATGCACAGTTAAGAAAACGAATGAATGTCTAGTAAAACTAATTAATTTACTATTCACACATTTACAAACAAAATGTTTCAAGCAAAATCAAAATATCGCAAAGCGTTCAAAAACAAAATTGTGGTATCACGAGCGCAAAAAGTGGCGTACGCTGATTAGACTGGTTACCATTTGTGCACAGTTTCCAGCCTTTGCTAAAATCATTCTTGCGCAGGGGCCCTTGCTAATACATATACCACCCTACAATAATAATAAATAACATTCTTGCGCAGGGCCATACATTGTTATGTAACCAAACAGAAAATTAAATTTTATGTTATTTTGCTAATTTGTAATTCATTGTACCGGTCTTTGGATTTGTTTGGCAACAAACTTCTAAAAACAATATTTGCAGCTTCTTCAATGAAATTCATTTTACACTAAATTTTCACCAACATTTGATAAATGTCACAAAATAATGTTTTTGTATTGTAACTAAAGTAACGTTAACAACAAGCCATTTTGTATTAACTTTAATATAATTACTGAATCATTGTATTTTATTAAATCTCGAAGGGAGAATAAAGTTTAATTAATATATTACACGCTCTTTCAGGTGCTCGTAGTTTTTAAATAACCTCGCATCTAAAAGTAAGCTTTTTTAGCTTGTAATGTAAATAATTATTGGACTCCAAACGAATTAATTAACTATGAATTTTCAGTTTACATTTTAAATGAACAAAACGCCATGTTCTTTTGGCTTCCCTGGGTTGTGAAGGAAGGTCCGACCGGAATGTCATAAAAATTATAATAGAAATGGCCTGAGCCAAATATTGGGTGTGAACATTAAGCATATAGTATTCAACTTAATTAGCTTACACTCAAATTAAAAAAAAATGATGATATTGTTGTTGAAAATTTATTACTTCATGTCATGATTGAGAGAAAACACCTTTTTTTCTGTGAGATAAGTCTTGCATTGCAATGTGAAAAATGGAAAAATTTAAACAGTGATTTTGCAATAAATAAATTAGAAAAATAAAAAATACACTCAATCATAACAACAAGAACACGGTTCTGATGGCTTTTTTTTTTAATTATAAATTTCTTACAGATTTTTGCTCTTGGCTTGAATAAAATTCGTTAAATTTTAATCATTTTACACCGTTATAAATAAATATAAAATTTTTCGCAATATCTTATAACTTTAGTAAGTTATTTTTCTATATTAGCAAAAAAAAATTGTAAAATTAATTTTGGTGTTTATACCCTTAAGATTACTGAGCGTTCATTATTTTTATTGTGCAAATTGGATTTTTTACTGAACAAATTACAATAAAATACTGTGTGTGCTTTACTTACTGTGCAAAATATGATATTATACTGATCATTTTTATTTTTTTACTGTGCAAAAATTAATTAAATACTGATCATTTATCATTTTATACTGATCAAAATTGAATTAATTACTGAGCGCTTTATTACCACCCAAAGAAAATCTCGTTTAAAATGTTTCACGTAGTAAACAAATCTTGAAATAGAAAAAGAAATTAAACGCTAGCCAAACTTTGATTGATCTATTTACTTGGTTGAAGTTTTATTGGCTTTTCTATTTCAACGTTGAACCATTAGTTTGATTTTAATACACGGAGTAGAATTTATTTTTTTGTGAGTAACAAACAAAACAATTTTGTATAAATTTATCATTAACAACTATTAAACGATATGAATGGTCACGTAATTTGTTAGTGTACAGTTAGTAATATATTATTTAACTGTTTAAGGTCTCTCAGTAAATTATTTCTTATTATTGCTTTTGGTATAATTAAAAGTGAAAAAATACAGTTTACGGCTGAAACAGATCATGACAATAGTGTTGTTTATTGTTGTTTATTTTATACGTTTGAGGAGAAGTAAATATTTGTATTGGGTGTTATTCTGGTAACTTTGATAATTATTACATACCTTGTGAATGAAACCAGTATAACAAAAACGAGGACTTGACAAATAAGTTAATTGTTGTTTGTAGTTTCGAAACGTATTTTTTGTGTTTTTAATTACATGGGACACGTCGAAGATATAATTTAAATAAAATAAAAGCCCGGTGTTATGACACTATTCCGAATCTAAAACATCATTTTTATAATAAAGAAAATAAATTAATTACAAATTATATTGATCTTAGAAATACTCGTTGTCTTGGGAGAATGTTTTAAGCTTTTGGAACGACTTTTTCACCTTTGAATCCTATCAGAATAGTTGTTTACTTTCTTGTGGAGTAATTTTCCACTGAGGAAAATGTGTAATTTTGTTTATAATTTAAATTAGTAAATGTCTGATTATGACTTTTCTGTTAACTCAGTATAATTTTAAGTAAAGCTATTCAGTTTCATTTTGCACGAATAATTGTGTTATTTGTTCCGATGTATTATCTGATAAATTGCACTCAATTCAGCTGTAAAAATAGTAAGTACGTATTCTGTAATACAATTGTAAAATGTTATCAGTCTTATTATAAAATTAATTGTCGATAAAACACATTGTCTCACTTGAATTTTAGTCATTCTATAATTAAACAAATTTTGAATCACGCCCCCCCAAGTATGCTTAAAATTAATTCGTCCTCAACACTTTACGACTTTTCGTACTTGAAACCCAATTAATTTCAATATAGTTCGTCATTTTCGAATGAAAATCCAAGAGCACAATTCAGACGTTTTGAAACGTAGGTGAAGTCAGCTTTTATTGGTGGTTTTTAATTCAGTTTAATGAGGATGTGCATGCGTGTCATGACTTTTTATCGTTTCACAAAATGTCCTAGATTTCGAATTTTTGAGACGTCTAGAAAGACAAAACTCGCAAAATATTTGGCAACAGAAGGGATCGATGTAATTTTAGAAAAACGTCATACATATCTATTCCTGAATGGAATTGTACCTACGCATCATCTGCGTAATTATGACGTCCTAGTCTAACGTGGATAAAATTTGAAAATTGGGAATGAGGGGCCACTTAAAAAAGTTTAGCGATTTAAGAAGGAGTTCGTCAAATGACGAAATAATTTTTGTTATATTTTTGGTCGATTTTAAATGTAAGTAGGTCGCTTCTTCATTGGAGCTTTAAGTGTTTTTCTGTTTTATTTGTGTTGTTTTATTCATCTAAGATTGGATTGTTTGTTGCAGAATCTGAATGCATTCACGGTTTGATCCAAATCCTTCGATTGTTTTGTTGAAACCGTCGTCTGCAGATCCTTTCAAGTTACCGAGAAGATTCGGTTTCTGGATACCGAAAAGGGAGAAAAAGAGGGGTTTGATTTAAGCGATTTTCCCGAGAAATACTCGTCGTTAAGTGAAATCGAAAAATCGACGTTGAAAAGCCACACAACCAACTCGACTAAGAAGGAACAATTAATAAGAAAAAAATAGTTTGCTATTTGTTGTGTAAATTGAGCTCAATTTAAGTAATTCAACAATTGATGGGACAAGTAGTTGTTTAAACAAGGTCTCGTCAGTTCGAGTACGATAGTCTTGTAAGGCGTTACCGCTTAGCAAGGAATCTGTGTGACAAGTCAAGTGAGGAAATAATTCGCTAGTGTATGAGAACCGGATGAATAAAAATTTGAATAACGAACGTTTACCGAGAGTGATAAATTTCGCCAAAACGGCTAACAATCGAAAACTAACTTGAGGAGTTGGTTGTGTGTCGGTGGAGTGCGCCCTTAAGCAGAAGGGTTTGACTGTTTAACCGCAAAACCCGTGTGATAAATGGATATTGAATCGTATCATTTGCAAAATAAAATGTTAACAATAAATAATAGCTTGCTCCAAAATCACCGTCAGCGAGAAACGACTGGAATCAAGAAATTGTATAATTCCTTTTTTGTTATGTTCTAAAAAAATCGTGAGGGTTTGAGATTAATCCAGGACTGCGTTATTCGGTCGAACGAAAGTAGCTAGATTCAAATATATATTTTTTTTAATCCGGAGATTCCGGCTCGCGGCAGTTTTTATATAGTATGGATTACGAATTGTATGACAACTCGGACATTTTGCTGAACGGTGATAAACCCAGTATCTCGAAAAGTTCATGGAACATACCCAGTGACGGTAGTATGGATAATAACGACGAGTATTTCGATTGGAACCCTCTCAAAATCGACGAGGAACATGTCGAAAACGCACAAGGCCCAAGAACAAGAAAAAGAAAACTAACAGCAATAGAAGCAAGTCCTTCCAAAGTCAAACAGAATTTCAAAAATGTACAAGATCCTCTAGCGATTGATGAAAAACAACAGAACCAGAAAAAGACACAAAATGGTAGGTGGGGAACTAATTGCAACAATCTTGTTTCCCTCTTTCTTAAAAAACAAAATCTTGATCTATTTTTTTGAATAATTGATAGAGGACACAATTATAAAAATAGAAAAGTAATAAAAGGAATAAAATTTTAACTTTTATATAATTAATGTAGATTTTTCTTTATTTGACTTGAAACACCGTTTACACTTAATATCACATACCTCATTAGTACGAAGCTCAAATCACACATGTTATTTAAATTAAAGTTGACAAGTTATTTCAAGGTGTGATAAAATTAATACGGTGTTGATTGAATAAACACTGACAAGTAGACAAATACAAATATTTTTTAAACTGAATTATTTGTGCTTAGTTCTTTTTTTTTAAGTAAACCGACTTTTATGTCTATGCAAAAGAAATTTCAATAAAAAAATTAAATTTGAGTATTTGCGAGTAAAGTAACTATTAAATGCATCGCAAATTATACAGAGTGCGCCAGAACTCGCGCCCCAGGAACATGGAAAAAATGTTAAAATTTTTTTATCTATAAACATTTCGAAGTTATGAGGGTTGTTTAAATTTTGCACGTTGAATCTATTTATTTCTGTTGTAAAAATAATTTTCCAAGTTTTTTTGCTATAGGCTATTAAAAGAGTAAACAAGGAAGCTGTATCCTAAATTGTAACTCTGTTCAATGTTATTTGGGGCTTTTATTGTCAAAATTTTTGTACCTTTACTAAATAATTATAAAAAAACATATACAAGATCATCAGTATCATTAAATGTACATAAAATATGTCGAGTGTCAAAAATGTTTACCTTACCTTACTTGAAATTTCTCTGTGGGGCGCGAGTTCTGACATACCCTGTATTATGAAAGCAAGCCTATTTCAACACAATATTGTTGAAACATTCAAGAATATTTATTACAGATGATAAATGAAAAGTTGTAAGACTTTTTATCAACCCGGTTATGAATAAATTACAGAAATCGACATAATTCACTTTCACTTTTCTCTTTAATCCTTATTTAAATATTTAAGATTAGTATTTGTCCAAGACGGTCTAATTAAATCCGACACAACGATTTAATTGTCTGTACAGAGTCTATAAAAACCGACCTCTTTCGAAATTATTTCCGTGTAAACAGTAAATAATTATAATGAGGGTTATTTATGTTGTTTGTTTGGTTCTGAATATGATAGGGTGGAAGTAAACACTGAATACTTCAAATTATATAGCAATACGTATTTTATAATAATTTATTATAATATATGACACGATATTTTTAGTTTGTTAAAAAATAAAGTTTTAAGGTCGGTCTGCTTCGAGGAGTAACTTGGTAAAAATGTGTACGTATTTGCTGTAAAATATGCATTCGATGTTGTTGCTTCTTATTTTTATTTTGCATTTGACAATTTAATAGCACCTCACATCTAGTGTTATTATATGTAATGGGAATTCTGCAATTACAAAGTTATTCAACCAGAGACCCGTTCTAATTGACACCATAATTATCCTTTTAAAACAGTGGCTGGATGCAAAATTGATTGAATTTTGAGATCTAGCATCATGTTTACACTACTATTATGAACAAAAGTTATCATTTCTTATCTTGACGCACATGTGTTTATCTGAAATGTTTTTGAAAAACTTTCTTAAAGTAGCCCATGATTCTGATTTTGTCGAGTTGCTTTATTTTAAAGTAAATTGGAAAGGTATCAATTATTTCTCTGGGACAATTTTTATGTTAAAAATTGGTCCGACAGACTGAAATTGAACAAGTGGAAAAGTTTTTCAGTGACGTCAATGATTATTGTTAAGGCGACCTTTTCAATTATTAGACCGGCCACAGGCAATTTTGTCACACATTTATCAAACGTTTTAACACTTGTGATATGTCCCTAATTGATCTAAAAATTCAAACCGATATTAAAAAAAATGCGTTTCGATACACAATTATCAGATTTAATTTCATTGAAGGTCAATTTTGATAGGTATAATAAACCGAACAAAGCGTACTGAATCTATGTACATAACAAGATAAGTTAAAACCGAGAAAATATTTGTTTTTATTTTAGCTTCTTTCTCTGGCATTGTTTTATTAAAAAAATTTGATTTTTTGAAATTAATGCCCGTTTTTCAGGCACTGTCAGGATGCCCACGTGGCAGGTCGAAGATATGACAGAATTAAACGGAGACATCGACAGTTCTCTAAGTTTGGGTTCCGACTTGGCCAACAATTCCTACAACGTCAGGTAACAATGACGCCATCTGGTGTTTAGAGTTTTAACTCGATTTTGCAGTGATGCCATACTGTCCATTTCCGGTTTGACGGTCTTTAAGCAGGAAGCCCCCTCCCCTACAAATAACGATGTATCACAACTGCAAATCGTGCGTCAGAATCGCCAAAGCCCCACCAGCACCCAGCAAATGGTCCATAATGGGACTCTCGAGGAGACAACCAATCAAAACATGATCAACAACACCATCAATCAATTACTAACCCAATCAGCTTACACTAATTTACAAAATGCGATCGATGCTAATCTTGTTTCGTCGCCCAATTCGCAGGACAATTACAACGTGACTTCCACTAATTACAGTTTCGCGGAGGATTGCCGATTTCAATACGTTTTGGCTGCGGCGACTAGTATAGCGACGAAAGTCAACGAGGATACTTTGACTTATCTCAATCAGGGACAGAGTTATGAAATCAAATTGAAAAAATTGGGCGATTTGTCGATGTATCGGGGGAAGTTGTTGAAGGTTTTTTATGAGGGATTTGGTTTGGTTTTATGTTAATTTGGGTTTTTGTAGTCGGTTATTAGGATGTGCTTCCATGAACGGCGACTGCAGTATATGGAAAAGGAGCAAATGGCAGCGTGGCAAAGGGCACGACCTGGAGATAGGATTTTAGAAGTTGATGTGCCGCTGTCGTATGGCGCTTTTGATATTGTGCAGCCGTCGAATGCATTAAATATTATTCATTTTAATTGGGATCCTACTAAAGAAGTTGGGGTTTATATTAAAGTAAGTTAGGAAAACGAAAAACAATTAAAATTGGGCAATGAAAACATGTTACAAAAGATAACTCGAAAATGTTCCTTCGACTTTTTAGTTGTTCTAATGCTCAGTCAAATAAATAATAAATTGTGTCTTTAGTAAGTGGTAAAGGGATAAGACAGTTTAAGATCAGACTAGTGACTACAGTTTATAATTAAAAAAAAAAAAACAATATACGCAGTTGCTCAAATAATGACAATATTTAACCAATCTAAATAAATTATCATCATTCACGTTGTGGTGAAATTATATGATAATTGGGGATAAAGTGCTTATGTCACCACTCATCACTGAATTAATTTAAATTTTTAAAAATTAATATAGGCAACCAACAATACTTGATTATAAAATCGAGTGATTCAATGTTATTTCATTGTCTGAAACTTTAAAAAATACAGAGTGTGTCATATGCAGGCTTCATTATCTTTAAAGTAGGACACCTGTAATACATTTTTGATTCTTATTCTACAAAGTGATCCGCAATGAATGAATCTGTTGGCAATCCTGACTAATTTCTAAAGCTTACAATTCAACAATCTTGTATTATAGTCTGTAACACATATTGTAAACTGATTTTCTAAAAAAAAAAACGGGAAGTTGTATCGAAAAAACGTAAGAGACCTGTTTTTTGTGAAAAACTATGAAATTTAGAATTTTGTGGCTGAAAGTGGTAAGAACCAACAGCCAAAATAGTTACGATAATTTTACCCTAAACCCCCCCAGTTAAGGACGCTTCTGGGTAAAAATGTCAACATTTTATCTTTGAATTTGTTTAGGTGTATAAAGGTTACCAGTTGGACTAAATTTTTACAATGGTTTCTGAAATAGTGGAAAATATCGATTAAAAAATGCACCCCTTTAAGGGAATGAAGCTCCCTTACATAAATTTTTTTATACATGTTCATAGGAAACTTTTATCTTAAACTTGAATATTCTATCACCTGTTTAAATTTGTATCAATAAAAACAGAACACTCTATATGTGAGTGTCTCCCAACTTACTAAACAAATGTGTATGTTGTTTAACATAGATCAAACTCTCATAAATAAATAATGCAGTAATGCAATTGTGTAAAAATAGAGCGTGAACTAGAGTGACAACAAGAAATCTTTCATCAGGGAAAAAACTGACAGCAAGCTTTTTTCTGGAGTAAAGGCAAAATATTAATGATTGAATATATGCCAAAAATGTCTTCAGGTAATACGGAAGTGTATGGAGACTATATCTGTACCTCAGAGCAAAATAGTATTAACTCCAGTTTTTAAAAAAAGTTTCGGAAGAAAATCAACCAAAATTTTTGTAAAAAAAAAACTAACGTACAAGAATTACAAGGTTCATGAAGTACCAAAAAATAACGTTATCAACGATTGATGCTTTATTCAATCACGACATTCGTCCAATAGTGTATATAGATTTAGTAGTTTCTTGCAAAATTTCCCTTAAAAATATGATTAAATTTGAATGAAATTATGACTACATACTTGGTTCGGAATAGTGCGTTAGTATTGAAGAATGTTTTCTTGAAAAATTTTTTTTCTATAGTCCTCTTTCATAGTTAGGTAGATTTCTAACTGCACGTAAATAACAATTTTTTATTTGGAATATGATTATTAATTTAAAATAAACAAATAACTGCAAAGGATTTTCTCTGCTTATTCATTATTAAAAAAAAGTAAAAAGTTCGTTCTCGCAAAAGGTGTTTTCTTTTTTGAGATATTTTTTTATATATTTGTATTACCTACTATGAATTTAGTAAAATCGTAAAATCGCTGTCCAACAAATTGATTTACGAACTGAACTAAACTGTCTTTTTAATCGGATAATTGGATTGGCTAAAGAATTATAGTTTGCAGCGATTTGAACTGCACCTAGCTTGTAGCTAGAAATTCGAAGGAAAACATGTTAGATTTTCGTAAAAAAAAGAACAATCAGTAGATTATACCTTTTATAAAAATCACTAATTTCGTATTGTACAATTGGAGACAAAATACTTTGGTCGTCACTTTTCTGACACTTTAATGTAATTCAAGCTTTAACGTTAAAATGAATGACAATCTAAAATTAATGACAGCTATTATATTTTCCTATCAAAAATATGTAAGTTGCGGAATTAAAATTTCGGACAGGATTTTTCTGTGACTTCAAAAAGTTTATTGTAAACTGCCTTTTACTGTCATCATGACTGACATTTGACAATTAAACTTTTCTGTCGGTGAAATGACATAAACATGACAAGAGTAAAAAATTAGGTTATCATTGTAAAGGTTGTTTTAGGGTTTACATTATCAAAATTTCCGGCAGTTTTCAGTCACTTTAAAAAATTCACTGTAAACTACGTTTTACTGTCATCATGAATGACATTTGTGTGTAAAGGTTGTTTTAGAGTTTACATTATGAAAATGACAATACTGCCCGAAAATTTAATTCCGCAACTGTACATACAACTTGTCAACTATGATTGACAGTAACTAAAAATAAGGTTAACGTCCTAAAGCATGCTTTACAATAATTTAATGTCACTCAAGTGACATTGACGACCAAAGTATTTTGTCTCCAACTGTACATAACAAGTTATTTTTGATTTTTTCAACAAAATGACCATATTAAAGGAAAAATGCGATTACTATTATAGTAGTAAGGTCAGTTCAAAGCAAACTAGAAACAGATAATTGGGTGTTGTTAACCGATATGCTTAAAATTATTTATTTCCGTTTTTTGTTTATCCTTGAAACTTGAACAATTTTCCTTCAAGGTTTTAAATAAGTTATTATTGCCTTAGCATCTGTATTTGGACAACTTTACTGAATTATCCTAGAACTGTTTTTGTATAGAACCAGCAATAAGTTGAATCACAACTACACTACAATATTTCGATTAACTAGAAATTACCAGTTTTCAATGCTCATTTAAAATCACCCACATTTCTTACTCTACATTTTCTTCCATTCAGGTGAATTGCATAAGCACCGAATTCACCCCAAAAAAGCACGGCGGCGAAAAGGGTGTCCCATTTCGCATCCAAGTCGAGACTTACCAAAACGGCGATAATCTCGACTCTTCTGTTCGTCTTCATGCCGCCGCCTGTCAGATCAAAGTTTTCAAATTGAAAGGCGCCGATAGAAAACACAAACAAGACCGGGAAAAAATCATGAAACGGCCTTTATCCGAACAGGAAAAATACCAACCGAGTTACGAATGCACCGTTTTGAATGACGTAAGTATTTAAAAAATTGCAATGAACTCTTACCTGCTGTCACCAGAAGCGCACTCAATCAAGAACTGGTTCTGGAAGAAATATTCGAATAGATTTTCAGTGAAAAAAGTTTGCGTACCTTTGTGGTTGTTTGAACCAGATCCTACTGCTTTGTAAGCACACAAAGTGATTGTCGATTGAGATTTGTTAGAAAAAAGCTTTAATTTTGTAAAAAATAAACAAGCGAGTTGCTGAAATTTGATTGTTTTTTATAGATACCCAACGATGCCGTACTGAATTCGCCCCCGATAGCCCCCATTTCTGCAGTTGAAAGGTAAATAACGTTTGACATTTTATACTATAGGAATTTTTTTAAGCCGGATTTTTTGATAATGTACACAAATCGGTTACAAAAATATATAAAAATAAAACTACTAGGTTAAAATCTACTGAGAATTATCCTTGACTCTGCTTTTTTTCGTACATACTAAGGTGTATGTTTGTTTACACGCAATAAGTGCTGTCAGATAACAATAATAATAAAAATAACACATTTGAAATGTCAAATAAAGTAAAGATGCTAATTGAAAAGCAACTTTTTAAAAAACCGCAACTAAATTAGCAGAAAAAAAGTTGTATACCACTCATTCCTAATGAGTTTTTGTTTTTGCTATCGCGGTAGTGAGCAACTTATTATCAATTAGCAGAGACTAAAATTTGTTTCATGACGTTTTACGACTGATAAGAAAACACAAACAATTTTTAACGACCAGGTAGCTTGGTTTTAACTGGATCGAACTCCGTTGATACGTAAATCAACCAGTTTGAATCCAATGAAATTCTAATAATTCTAAAGTTCATTGTTGAAAAAAATTGCTCAATAGCATGTGACTTCGCCTAGGTCACAACTGGATTTAAGATTTAGAGTCGGAAAATCCTTTTCTTCACTTCCAAGTCTTCTCACATCACGTGTTTAATCGTCACATCGGTTTTATTTAAACTTGTGCGATAAGCCAGCTAACCCTTTGTAATATTCCAAACAAAATAAGAACTATTTATAGTAGTTATTTACATGAGGAGATCGGTTTTATCACGAGAAGCAATTGGTTAATACTATAATTAAACATTAAAAAACACATACCGGTTCGTACTGGCTCCATTGTACTTTCAAATTTACCAACAGAAAGAAATGTTATCATTATCACACAATGGCGAATATCGTAATCGTAATTATTGAAATGTTTCGTGTCCGCGACAACGTCAATTCAATATTTGTTGAAACTTTTGCTGTGACAAATGGAATGTGGATTCGATCGGATCGAAATGCAGCAGAAATATCCAGTTTTTCGTTTTTTTTTTTCAGACGATTGTGTTTCATTTGGTAGTGAAGGAAGAATTATATCACTGTTGCATAATTTTGCACGGATATAAAATCTTCCGCGATGATGAAATTTTAAATGCGAAACTTAATGACTAGAATTTAGCGTGGAATGTTGGAAATAAAATAAACAAAACTGCATAAAAATAAAAATAAAATTATACTCCTATGTAAAATAACATTTAGACTTTTTTAATACAAAAAGGTGTTTATAAAAGTATGTAGGGTCAAGTGGGGCATAACTAAATTTGTGAATTCAATTTCATACGGCTTATTCTCTATTTAGTTTAAAAAATTTACATTTATACAGGTGCGCCAGAACTCGCGCCCCAGAAAAAAATTTCAAGTAAGGTAAGATACCAGGAACATGAAAAAAATGTTTAAAAAATTCTCTGTCCAAAAATTTTGATATTTATTTTTTGACATTTGACATTTTTATATATATATTTAATGATACTGATGATCTTGTATATGTTTTTTTTTACATTTATTTAGTAAAGAAACAAAAATTTTGCCAATAAAAGCCACAAATAACATTGAAGAGAGTTACAATTTTAGATACAGCTTCCTTGTTTCCTCTTTTAATAGTCTATAGCAAAAAAACTTGGAAAATTATTTTTACAACAGAAATAAATAGAGTCAAAGTGCAAACTTTAAACCCTCATAACTTCGAAATTTTTATAGATAGAATTTTTTTAACATTTTTTCCATGTTTCTAGTATCTTACCTTATATGGCATTTTTCTCTGGGGTGCGAGTTCTGGCGCACCCTATATAGTTTATTACTCATATACCAGGTGAATAAAAAGTATGGAACCAAACGTTTTTTGTTTGAACTATTTATTTTCTGAAAAAACTAATTGATGAGTGATAAAGTACTATAAAAATGTGATGATTTAACAGGAATAAAATTTTTCGATATTTCCTTTTGTTTTTGAGTTCTACAAAAAAAAATATTTTTTTAAATGGCAACCCACTATAAAATCATTTTTCTCATAAAAGCTATACTCTAAAGATTACAACTATCTGCTTTATATTTAATTTTTTCAAAAAAAATTTTTCACATAAATTGCAATTTTGACAAAAAAAATCGCATAACTCAAAAACAAAACAAAATTTCTTTCTGAAAATACGATCACATTTTTTCTATTACTTTAATTTATATTAATTATTATTTTCTGGAAGCAAATGATTAAATAAAACCGCTTGGTTCCATACTTTATATTCACCCTGTATTATTATTTTAAGTATTTAGTAATCGGAAATAGTTATTTATTATACAAAGCGATAAAATTAAATTTTATCGTTGAGTGCAATTTTGCGTCGAGGCGTCAGCCGAGACACTAGTACGCTCGAAAAGATAATGAAAATTTTATCGTCGTATACAATAAAAAAATTACTTTAATCCTCACTAATTTTGTAATCAATTTGGTCGATATTTATAAATGTCAAAGAAAAATTCAACAATGAAATCTAATGTCAAAGATCGTTAGCAACTAACAACCGCAGATATACAACAATGGATCATCTAGACGATAAAATTTTATTTTAACATGAAGAAAAGAGTAGATAAAATTCAATTTTAACATAGAGGATTTCAAAAAAATAGTTATTTTCTTTTGGTGTTCCTCTTTTGTCAAATGTATTTCACTATTTCTCAAAACTATTTTTCACCCATGTCGCTTTGACATTAATAAATCAAATGAAATAGTTTTGTGAAACACATTTGACAAAAGAGGAAAACCAAAATAAAAACTCTGTAGGGTCCTAAATAGAGCCCATGTAAAGGGGCAAATGTAATATCATATCGCATTTAGTAACTAACAGTGTCTATAGATTGGATTCTGGGGTAATACAAATAAAAATTAACTAAAAAGAAAAAAAGGTTTTTATTTTAGAGAAATCAAACAATCACAATCAAAATTAGAAACTTTTCAAAAAATAAACATTTTACTTATTCTAAGTATATCAATCAAGAAATAATCATGTTTCGGAACTTAAAATCAAAAGTTATTATTCCACGTCCAGTAACTTCTAGACTGGGTAGAATATGAACAAGAAATAAGTATAATATATAATAAGTAGGATGTAAACGGTAGCAAACATGCTAAATACACACGAATAAAACAACTTTCTAACACGTATGTTATCATAATATTACAAAACAAACCAAAAACTTACTTCAAAACTTCAGATGAATATCGATGAAAAGTTAACGAACGAATATTTAGTAACATTAGAAAAACAATATCTTTTTCAATGCTATGTATCTCTGGGGCACCAGAAGATAAAATTTTGAAACAAATTGGTCTTCATTCAGAAAATAACGGACAATAATATGAAATAAGAAAAAACTTAATTTTGTCTCTGTTGCACACTATAGCTCAGTATAAAAAAAGTAAAAAAAAAAACAGTGCTCTCGTCTTTTAGGTATAACTTTTACAAGACAAAACTAGAAATGTTATTGAATTAAATTGCAATGTTCTGCAAAGTTCGTTCCGAACAAAAATTCGTCGAAATCCGACAAAAAATAACAAAAATATTGCAATGTGAAAAATCGCAAAATTTTAGTTGTCCGGTTAATTTTGGCTGCCAGTGTACTTCGTCACAGAACTCTATGTACAGTCACGCAAAAAGAAAATGACGCATCCATAAACGAACGCCTGCCGCTCCCTTGACCTGTCATAAATTATCAGAGATCGTAAACTAGTTTTGAGAGATGTTCGACATTTGGTTTATCGTCTTTTGAAATGATTAAGGATTTTTTGTTGGTTAGGAGAAATGCGAAATGATATAATTTGCGACGTTTCGACGCTTTGAGAATAGGTCACAAAAATAAATTTGTTGGTTTGTTTCCAAATTTAATTTACTATTTGGACGATGCAAAATAAGTTTTAATGTTCTATTATGCCGAATAACAAACACGGCAAAACTCGGATTCTTATTTTGCTTTATCAACCAAAAATAGTAAATTAAATTTGCAAACAAACTAACAAATTTATGTTTGTGACCTTTTCTCAAAGCGTCGAAACGTCGCGTCGCGACAAACTTGCAAACTGTATTATTTCACATTTCTCCTAACCAACCATTTCCAATAAAAAATCATTATCAGGGTTGCACAGTAGACGTTCGTTTATGAACGCGTCATTTTCTTTTTGGGTGACTGTACCTAAAACATGCATCATGCATCATAATTTATTGTAGCTGAATTTGTAACATAGAACCGCGGAAAAAATTGTCCAGTGTAATTTTTGTTCTGCTGCTATCAATTCAAAATGGGCGGAGCATTCATTTTTTTACACTTTATGGAGTATAATAAAATATCTATTAATGCATTGACGTAGTTGCTGGGCAAAGTGCGTTTTTGACGGGCTCGTAAATCTTCAACCGATTTTTTTTTATTGAAAAGAGAAAAAATAAGTAACAGTTCATTTTATAGATTTGAAACAGAGTATACATATTTTATACCCTTATCAAAAAATTAGCAAATCGTCACGTCATCAAAATTTATTCATTTAACACCACCTTGATTTGTATTACTAAAAATTACTTAAGTAAACGTTACACTGCAAAAAATTAAAGTTTAACTTTGTTTTTTTTTTCTACTTTTTACTCACCCACATTATGTTTATTGAGCACACCATTTTTGTACTAGGTAATTGATTGAAAAGTAAATTAGTTTTGACCCAAAAACTCTTTTGGTAAACATGATTTTTGTGACTAATAAAGATATTGCTATATCATGAAGCAGACCAAACAAAATTAAATTCGTTTCAGTTCCAAAAAATCTGATCCACCAACATGTAAAAAATTTCAATTTATTCATTCTTGTATTTGTACCTTACGTTATTATTAGTATTTAAACATTTGATAAGATTATACATAATAATGAACGAATGAATGAATTTATATCTAAAGTCAACAAAAAACGACTAATCAAATTTAGATTTGTTATAATAAAAAAAATTCCATTTGATACACCGGATCGGACTGAATTTAAAAAGAATTGTTTGGTTAAAGACATTCAATTCTTTTTGACATAATTGCAGTAATCATAACAAAAGGTTAAATATCACGTGAAAAATGTGAACATCATATGACTTAATAACCCACATGACTGATACAAACAAATGTATTGTTTTTATTGATTCACACGACGAAATAACAGACAACTCAATTGCCAATAGCTTTGTTCGCGGTAACAATCCTGAACTAGTTTAGGCATCAAATTCATACGCGGTATAGTAGTATGTATGTACAGTCGAACAAAGTGAAAATGACGCCTCAATAAACCAGCCCCTGCTGTGGATGCCGACCCTTCTAACCGCAAGCAGGCAGGGTCGTAAATTATCGGATTGTAAACTAGACCTAATTTCAAGATAAATTTTTTTAGGAGCCAGTTTACAGAAAATGAAATTAAAATTTGATTCAGAATTAAACTAATTCGAATTAAGTTGCTACTTATTTCGCATTAACAAACGTCAAGTTAAATAAAAATGTATTTTTTTTTGATAATAAATCGGAACTATTTAATAACATTTTCAATTT